TGATTTCTTCAACTGGTTTGTCCTCTTCAGAAACAATTAATTCAACTTGTGAAATCTCTTCTTTGGGTTTTTCTTCAGGGATAATAACTTCAAGCTCTGATATTTCTTTGATTACCTTTTCGTCTTCAGAAACAACAACTTCAGTGATTTTTTCAACTGGTTTGTCCACTTCAGAAACATTTAATTCAAATTCAGAAATCTCTTCTTTGGGTTTTTCTTCAGAAACAATAACTTCAAGCTCTGATATTTCTTTGATTGGTTTTTCTTCTTCAGAAACAATAACTTCAGTGATTTCTTCAACTGGTTTGTCCTCTTCAGAAACAATTAATTCAACTTGTGAAATCTCTTCTTTGGGTTTTTCTTCAGGGATAATAACTTTAAGCTCTGATATTTCTTTGATTGGTTTTTCTTCTTCAGAAACAACAACTTCAGTGATTTCTTCAACTGGTTTGTCCTGTTCAGAAACAATTAATTCAACTTCAGAAATCTCTTCTTTGGGTTTTTCTTCAGAGATAATAACTTCAAGCTCTGATATTTCTTTGATTGGTTTTTCTTCTTCAGAAACAACAACTTCAGTGATTTCTTCAACTGGTTTGTCCTCTTCAGAAACAATTAATTCAACTTCAGAAATCTCTTCTTTGGGTTTTTCTTCAGGGATAACAACTTCAAGCTCTGATATTTCTTTGATTACCTTTTCGTCTTCAGAAACAACAACTTCAGTGATTTTTTCAACTGGTTTGTCCTCTTCAGAAACAATTAATTCAACTTGTGAAATCTCTTCTTTGGGTTTTTCTTCAGGGATAATAACTTCAAGCTCTGATTTTTCTTTGATTATTTTTTCTTCTTCAGAAACAACAACTTCAGCGATTTGTTCAACTGGTTTGTTCTCTTCAGAAATAATTAATTCAACTTCTAATGCCTCACCATTCTCAGGTAGTGTATGTTTACTGTTCTTGTCAAATTGTTTCAAGTCTTTTGCTTTAATATCTTTCAAAGGTTGCTCAGAAAGATGTGGCTTCAAGCTATCTAATTGGGTTAAATCATCTGATACAATCTCAGATTCTATTTTTTCAATATCATGGACAGTGGGAACAAGATATTGTTGTTCTTCTGACTGTTTCCCATCTTCCAATAAATTGCCTAATACATGGAAAAATGTATAAATATTCCTAAACAGAATGTACATCAACATTGACTAAGCAAATAATTATATGAAAAAGTGACATAAAATGATATAAAAGAAGAAGCAAGAAATATAGTGTATGTTTTATTTTATAGTTAGACAGTCCATTGTAGTTTTAGGGTAATACAATATATCAGATCATTTATTTCAAGTCAATAACACACTATGCATGCTTAAATAATTCAGTATTGATACATTTGAAATAGAAATGTATGAATTGAAAGTTGAAGGAGAAACAATATCATTTTATGATAATTTCAATCATCTTTAATTTAAAAAAAAAAACCAAAAAACAGATAAAACCCTTTCTATTCATACATATCATGCACCACAATATAGCAGCAGGAAAGAATTTGCAATTTTTCGAGCAAACTTTTTAGATTTAGCTAGGAATTATATGTTTGGCTCTCAAAAGCAATTTACCAGTAATCTTTGGTACTGCATAGTTCCTGTAGTAGTTAACTAACTTTGAGAAATTAAGTGACTGTAATGTTGAACTTATTCAAAAACAAAACAGGAAAAGAAATACATAATTTGTGGAAGGATATCAGATTTGTAGCTGCTGCTCAAATTTGTTAGATGATTGCATTTTGCCTTTTAAAAAAATGATTTAATAACTACAACTTCATTAACTTTGTATTTCTTTTACTATTCTGTAAATAATAAATTTGAGTATTAACATTTCTTTCAGCCCAAACATGATTATTAGGGCATGCAATTGCAAATTTCAAAACTAAATAAATATAAGTCTGCAAGTGATGATACAGTACACAAATTAACCATTGACTTTCTTTTAGAAATGTTCATTACCCGTTTGACAAAATCATGCACGATAACAGAAAGCATTCAAGAAAAGTTTGAATCAAATTTTACATACAGATCACTGTATGTATTTTGAACAGTATTTATTTCAGATGATAATAAATGGTCATAAACATGAATCCTTTCATGACTTTACAACATATGTAATGAATAAATAAAGGTAAGCCAAGAGTTTTACAAACATAAATAATTTAGTGTCTATTAGTCAATTAATATTTTCAAAAAATTTACAATTTGTGCTTTTATCATTCAAAGCTATGGTTTATCAACAAAAAAAAAAAGAAAAAAAAAGCTTGTGTAGTTGAGTTTATTCAAAACAACTCAACTGCAGAAGTGTAACAAGATACAAAATAATACATATTTCAATCACATTTTCATATTTGAACTCATAATATGTAAAGCAATTTGTAAGTGGTAAATTATTGCAAAATAAGATCCCATTTATAATAAACATATACTTTTATCATAAAAATATATTTTGGACAGAAACTTTACCCACAATAACAAAATGCATTAGTTACAGAACAAAAATATCATGTTGACACATTAGATAATCAATGTCAAAGTTTATAATAACAACAACTGTACACAATGTCTGGCTTATTTCTATGCTACACTAGAGACCTATGGTACTGGACAACTACTTATAACTTATACCTAAACTAAGGATGGTATTGGGTATAACTAGCTTAACCATTATGTTATGGGGCAATTTATATTCTATGAAAAAGTATCAAATAATTATTCTTTCATAAAGAGTCTATTTGGATAAATGAAATGGAGTTTTATGGCATGTCAGCTCCAGAAGGGATATTTTGTTCCAAACCCTTGGTGCTTTTACTAGTTTTAGGATAAACTGGTTCACATTTTCAATATGCAATTGTCATTATTGTGATATATATATATATAACAAAAGAATTACTTTCACAATCACAGGAAATTAGAAGAAGAAGGATATTCCAAGGGAAACTTGAGATTGGCGTTTCGAAAAAGTCATTAATAAAGGTATGATTAAGGGTAATTTTAAGGCAATTTTAATAACTGACAGGAACTAATTTTATGTCATGGGAAATTTTAGGATATCTACCACAAAAGATAGGTTGCCAGGCAACAAAACATACGCCCACAGCAGCTAAATCTTCTGCGCAGTTAGCGGGGCTTGTTGCCTATTTACTCTTTTGTAGGTAATGGGGGGCATTTACAAGATTTTATACAGATCAGATTATAATTTTTGTCATTTGCGGCAGGTTCACAACAATTTTATACAGATTAGATTATAATTTTTGTCATTTGCGGCGGGTTCACAACAAGTTTCTACAAAATGAAACAATGACCTTAACTAAGGAAGTAATTAATGGAAATTGTTGAAATTTAAAAGGCTTCTTAGTTTCACTATTTTAAATGCTGCATATAAATTTCATACAGATCGAATGATAACGTTCACAAGTTTTAAAAGAATGAAACAAGGGCCATAACTCTTGAAGTAATTAATGGAATTGGCTGAAATCGAATTGGCTTCTTTATTTCACTAATTTAAATACATATAAATTTCATACAGATCAGATGATAATTTTTGGCGTTCAAGTGTTCACAAAGTTCAGGAAAGTGAAACAAGGGTCATAACTCTAGAAGTAATTAACAGAAATTGTTGAAATTCAATAGACTTCTTTGTTTCACTAATTTAAATGATACAAATACATTTCATACAGATCGGATGATAACTTTTGTCGTTAGAGCTTTCATGACGTGCGACAAAGAGAAACAAGGGCCATAACTCTGGAAATATTAAAAACGGAAATTGCTGAAATTCAATAGGTTTCTTCAATTTACTAATTTAAATGATGCATATAAATTTCATACAGATCGAAAGATAACTTTTGTCGTTGGGGTATTCACAAGATTCAACAAAGTGAAACAAGGGCCATAACTTTGGAAGTACTAAATGGAAATTGCTGAAATTCACTAGGATTCTTCGTTTCGCTAATTTAAAGGACGCATATAAATTTCATATAATCTAATTGGGGGCGACAACAATATACGACCACATTTCCATATGGGTGTTTAAAAAATGATAAAATTGAGAAGTTTAACTATCAGTAACATATTTCTCTTTATAATGCCATCTTTTTATTGACTGACTAATGCAATTTTAGCTATTCATCCTTGAAAGGGCATATTTCAATGATAATGCTCGTTCATTGGCTCTTTTATTGATTATGAGCTAAAATCAAACTCTCAGCCAATCAAAAGATGGTATCCTTTACAATTAGTGCATAAGAGGTCTTTCATGATCATTATATTTTTCCCGATTTGCCGTGATTTCACTTGACAGTAATATATTGGATGTGTTCAAATTAAACTAAATAAACAATCTGAGATAAATCCTTCCATTCACCATCAAGATATTGACGTTTTAACTATCAATTTACCAACTGTACATTTTTTTGGTGAGGTCAGTTCTAAAATTTGTGATAAGTATGTAACTCTACATCTATTATAAATAATATATTGGTAAATAATTAATGAAATTTGCCTCTTTAAGTTTTCAAGAAATAGGTGGCTGATCAAATAATCTTGGAATGAAATTGGAAAAGTTTTGGATTCTTATTTTACAGAAGTTTCAGAATTATTTCTGTGGAAAGGTTTGGTTAATAGGGATTTGTCCATGCGCTTAACATGCAGCATGCCTTCATATGTGAATATACAGTGGCACATTCAAAACCAAATGTGAAATGAAGGAGAATTAATTTGTTTATTCTCCATTGCTAACAGCATACTGGTAAGTGTATATATCATATTATGTGTACATATATTATTATATTTACATCACTATAGATACATTTCTTGTGCATAATGTGTAGACCATTAATATGAAAGCGTGTTTTAATGCAGCAATTATGGTTGTTCACCACGAGTGATAACTTAAGAAAGTCAGATATATATCTGTGTATTTTGAGAAAGGTAAAGAAATTCATAAGAAAAGATGCCATCTTACCTTGTATGTATAGATCAGCTTTTGTTGTGGCTTTTCCATATTCATTAATAGCAATGCACTCATATTCTCCTTCATCTTCTGGATATGTTTCAGCAATTCTCAAAATACATGTTCCATCACTTTCAATAACTTTCTCAAATTTGGTATCTTCAATTGGTTCTCCATCAAGTAACCATTCTACCTCAGGCTGGGGAACACCAGAAACAACACACAGAAACTCGACAGGTTTTCCTCCCAAAGCTTCAATATAGTCCAGTTCTGAATTGAAAAATTCGCTATTGGTTAAGAATCAGCATGTAAGTTGAGTATTTTATTTTGGGGAATTAAATAATATATCCTCCAGTTTTATTTCTACCTTTAGTTTTAAACTTAAGGGCGTTAAGTAGTCTAGGATATGTACCGGTACTAACTTTTCAATCCCAATCTTTATAAGACTTTGCACACTTGTTCCATGTGTAAAATAACCCAGAGGACACATATATAACAGTCCAACCGTTTGTTGTGTAATAATGGAGGTAAAAGCAGAAAGAAAAAAACTATTCATAGCAAACGAGAAGGTTTCCCCAACCGTTGTATTTTAGAACTCGTTGTGGACGTATTCAAAGAATTTACTGTAAAATCACAAAATCTTGTTTGAAGGTAAATCATGAACAACGATTTTAAAATACTTTGTGTTGATATTTTACGACATTTTTGGTGTCGAAATGTAGCTTATAACCACTACTTTACATCTACAAGAGTGATTATCGATAGCTCTTTTTAGCAAGTTTTCCAAGAAAACTCATCGTTTTTTGTGTTTCCATGGATACCAGATAAACCACAGCTTTTTGGGACTTGCAATTGGCATTGTGAATGCCAAATGTGATGAAAATTTATGCAGGCATAACTGAGAAAATTTGACTTTTGTTGTCGTCAGCTCCCTTTATTATCATGCTTTTGGGCCAAGTTTGGAACATAATTGGTAGATAAAATTGGTATTTTTGGGTGATTAATATGTAGTTTACCACCCAAAATCACAAAATTGTCATATTTTATCAACAAAAGATACAGTGCATTTTTGACAGCTCAACGCCCTTAATTTGTGATTGATAACAAGTTTTATTAGGTATTTCTGATCTTCCATTGGATTTTGAATTTTACCTTCAGTTTTCAACTATATCTATATTAACATCAAGTTTTAAACTAATATCCATAAAGTTATATGCCATGGAGAGAGAAATGTGGTTTAACGATGACTCTAAAGAACACATGGGTCATTCCATGTCAAAAGGGCCAAATGTCGGGAGACCCCCTCAGAATATTATGAAAAAAATATATGTGTTAAACTTAAGAGTTATGTAACTCTAGTATTAATATTGACTGAGATATGGCCTTTGGGTTCATGGTACCCTTCTAGGTAGACAATATCCTTCAAAATTGGGGATTTGAATGATCTTTTTATGTACATTAATAACCCTCCATCAGATTTTCTGAACAAGTACTGTCGACTATGTATGGTATATATTAAGTGTCAAAAATCATTAATTTTAACAATGTAGAAATTTGACTACAATATATTAGAGGTTGTTACTTGTTACATGTATAGTGTACCTATATGTGTTTCCAGAACAGACATATTGGAAGCCATATCTTTGTCGGTTTCTTGGGAAAATTAGCTTTGAAAATCAGCCTATTGCAAAATAGCTAAAATCCTTCTATTTCAAATGCTAACCATGTACATTGGAGCATTCCATGAAAATTTTCGAAATTTGCGGTGTAATATTGCTTCTACATGTGTCTATCAATGGTGAAAGGGCCATCTTTGATATTTTACTCCTTCAGTTTTTATTTTCATTAAATTTGAACAGTAAATTATGATATTTTTTTCATTTTTTTCCAAGTTGAATGGATTGATTATAATACTTTCAAATGCCTGATCATCATAAAACCAGATCTCCTAAGAATATTTTTTGGAAAATTAGCAATTATGCGTCAATATTGGACCATTTGAGTACCATTAATTTATGATTCAAGAACAAAAACAAGAAAAAATCCAGGGGCGGATCCAGGAATTTTTGCAGGAGGGGGTTTGCCAGGTTCCTGAGACAATGTATCCCCCCCCCCCTCCGCATTGCATCTATTGTCATTTTGGCGTAAATACATACACATTGAGCTTTTTAAACAGAGAAATTCAACATCACGTTTGACGTCAATTTTTATTATGAATTAATGTAATGACATTGTGATTCAATTTCATGGATGCAAAGCATCAATTGTGATATCACATAATGTCTATATCATTATCTCGTGCTTTGAGTGCTCATCCTGTCCCACATCTGACGATACAGGATAAAGCACACGTTCGACAAAACTTTTCTCATAAAAAGTTTTGATTTACAAAAAAAAATTATGTAGCTGAACAGGGGGGGTAGCGACCCCCCAAACCCCCCCCTCTGGATCCGCCCCTGAAATCGAGATTTGTGACATGTTAATATATTTACATTTTTCGCCCATTTAAAGGAACTTGCTTCCAATACTCTCATTATCATCAAATCACACCCTATAGGAGTGAGCTCATGACTACTCATAGCTTCTTTAACCTGTATCTTAACAGTTTTCCAGTAATCCCCTATTTATGTATACTTCTGACATTCTATAAATTCTTTATTACATTACATCATAAAATATTTTGCAATTTCTGATTAAAGAATAACACACCATAGATAAGTCATTATTATTGTCCCTACCACCTGAAAGGGGGATAACTCTCTACTTCATCCATTAAATTATTAAACTTCATATGCCAAAGTAAAAGTATATCATCCTAACAAGTAACAAAATAACATTTGTTAAATCCCAATTAATAATAAGCTGAGTGAACCATGAAATACAATGTTTTAAAGACAGCCATTTAAACATGGAAGTTACTCTATTAAGTTAACAGGCTGTGAGTTTCAGCAGGATACTATTACAAGCAGCTACTGCTCACATTTTTTTCCATTCTTTTCATGTACACAGAGTTTTCTTGCTTTACAATAATTAAGAGCGTTGAGCAGTTCAAAATACACATTTTAAAGCTAGCACTGTAATTTTTGTTGATAAGATATGACATTTTTTTTTGTTATTTTGGGTGGTAAACTACATATTAATCACCAAAAAATACCAATTTATTTACCATCTACTGTATGTTCCAAATGCACTGTATCTTTTGTTGATAAAATATGACAGTTTTGTGATTTTGGGTGGTAAACTACATATTAATCACCAAAAAATACCAATTTTATCTACCAATTATGTTCCAAACTTGGCCCAAAAGAATGATAATAAAGGGCGCTGATGACAACAAAAGCAAATTTTCTCAGTTATTCCTGCATGGATTTTCATCAAATTTGGCATGAACAATGCTAATTGCAAGTCTAAAAAAGCTACTGGACAATTTTTGGCTGTAGGATGTGGTTTGTCTGGTATCCATGGAAATGCCAAAAATGTATTTTAAAATCTTTGTTCGTTATTTACCTTCAAATAAGATTTGGTGATTTTTTGGTAAATTCTTTGAATACGACCACAATAAGTTTTAAAATACAACAATTCGGACTTAAAACGTAAATATTTACTTCAGTGCACTACTCCGCCGCTCTAAAAATCATTTTATACATTCAAAAATGGTTGTCTTCAACCATTTAAAAATGAAATTTAGTCATGTTCCAGTCGTGATAGATGGTAGACCTGGATAATTGTGCCTTAGAGGGAATTCCTTCTGACGTCATATATAGATAGACGCCAATGATTCAGTGTGAAACTGCTGCTGGACATGGCCATGATTGTTTACAGCAGATGACGTGTACGACATCATAATTTATTCAAGAACTGATCTTGGTCAGGGAAACCTTCTCATTTGTTATAAATAGTTTTTTTCTTTCCACTTGTACCTCCATTATTACACAACAAACGGTCGGACTGTTGTGTCCTCTGGGTTATTTTACACATAGATCAAGTTTGCAATTGGTGTTGAAAAGTTAGTGCGTATCTTAATCTCATTCTGTTTTTTATTAACCCTGCACTGTATTTAGGAAAGAACTTAAGATTTTATTCTACACTTTGAACTATTTTGTCCAGTTGCATTAATTCATCAATGAGCTATATCTTGTTTTAATGTGTTTAAGTAGATATAAATAGATAACAGCTTCATGCATCAATATGCAATCATATAATCAAAAAGTTTTTGCCATTCTTTTGTCCTGGTAATTGTGAAAGACTTCTGATTGATCAACGTTTTTGCATATTATTTTACTTCTTACCTTTTGTAAATACTGGAGCTACTCCTTCTAATTTTTGTTCAACATCAACTTGGTCTGGAACTATTTGTGCTTCTTGTTCCACAAGTTGGTACTCTTCTGTTTGAAGAGTAATGTCTGGAGCAATTTCCCTTTGTGGACTAATCACTGATGGTTTGATTTCATCCACTGGTTCTTCTTGAACCAAAGTGACTGTTTCATGGGTTTCCTTTACGGAAACTTGAACAGTTTCAGTTTTTTCTGTATCAAAAGTTACATCTGACGGTTTATCAGATGCCTCTCCTTGCAATGTCATCTCTTCTGAAACAGTTTCCACTGTTTTCTGGGTGACAAGGGTATGTGAAACTACCTCCGTCTCGACATGTGTTTTATCTTCAAGTGTGTCGATAGTGATTACCCCCGTGCTTTCGGGGACACTTTGTTCACTCACGCTGACTTCCAGACCCTCCACAGTCTCTTCCTTCTTGTCAGCGATTTCTGTTGTACTTTCGTCCGATGTAGGGATTTCTATGTAATCAAATGGAGAAAAATGTTTGTTGAATGCTGAGTTTTATAACTATGCACCTGATACTAGTACTGGTAAATAATAATTTAAAAAAAGGAATGACAATTTTTATCTCTGGATAAATAGATATTTAATGTTGTTTTTGTTTTTGCACAGTATCATGTTATTGGGTGTGTGTCATTTATTCAATTTTTGTTTTCATTGTGGATTTTATGTATGAGTGAGATTGAGGATTCAGAACATCTTTCAGCTTATCCATATTATACTTATATGGCTTAATCAATATGAGAATGTATACAGGGTTGTTTCAAATATTATTTATATGACAAGCACTTTCAAAATGGGTTATAGGATGCATTTTCAAGTTTAGTGTCCATTCCAAATAATCACCAAATATTGAATTTTGAGATTTTTCATTTAATTTTTTAATAATAAAATTCTGGTATATGCATTACAAAGATGTTACCTTTATTATGAGACAAATACATTCATAAAATTTACTTTTTTGTGTTTTCGATTGCATGATCATAATACTGAAATTTCTAATTTAATCATGTGATCATTTTTAGTTGTAAAATTCATCATCATAGATTCGATATTATGAGAAAAATACATTCCTCAAATTTATTTTTTGAGTTTTGGATTGTATGATGATACAAATACTGAAACTTCTCATTTAATCATGTGATATATTTTAATTGTAAAATATGTGTTGACAGATGCCATAGTTTCTACTTATAACCTTTTTCTGGGAGAGCTTGTCAAATATCATTAGGATGATGACAAAAATTCCATTATTGGTATATGAAAAACCTGATTAGTTTTATGTCATGTAAGAGCTTTGAAACATTCATTGTAAAAAAATGATACATGATGTTTGATACCAATACAATTATTGCATGTATGTCACTATTTCATAAGAAAAGTTTTCTTGGGAGTATTTCAAAGAAGTCCTAGACAGCTTCAGGAGATATACCGGTAGGTGTTAATTTGAATAATCAGTCCCCTGAGACTACAAGGACGAAAATGCAGCCATGCTTGAAACCAAAACATAATCTTATAAGATAAAAATCATAAATGATTTGTTTTATAAAGCTGTTAAACATTGTTATAGCAAATTGATTTTAATTCTTTTTCAAGAGTAATTTGATAATTATTAGCTATAAATTTGTACAAATGTGACCTGATAACCAAAAACATTAATGATTTCCATCTTACATCATTTTGTTTTTTTTCTATTCAATTTACTAGTTTCCAATAAGTGAAATTGATTAAGATATATAATTATAATGGCAAGGGACAATGGATACAAACAGTTCAGGAAATTCCACATTTTTTCGGATGCAGCAAACCATCAGATCTCTGATATCATGGAGAAGCGAAACAATATGGATACAATAACTATGATTAATGCTCAAAACCAAAGGGTCCCTGTTTTCTCTCTGTGTAAATTTGTCTTGGAAATTTTTGTTTGTTTGCAAATCAAATTCACTTGTCTGTCAACTTTCCATAATATTATGCATATGACTCATATAAAGATGCTTAGAGGGCCTCTAACATCTGTGCACACCATTTTCAGATGATCTTTCTATGTTTGAAAAACTAAAGGCATATCCTTGTAAGTTGAGGATTGTGGATTTTTGTTCTACAAGCTAGAGTGCAAGGGATAATGTAATTCTATGCTGCCGTCCCTTGGAACAGGTTATGTGGATCCTAATCAATAAGCCAGCTGATTAATTTTAAAGAATTCTGTTGATTTCTAAAACAAGTAACCATATAGGTTTTCTAGCTTTTTGTTTTAAAGTGTTGAAACTATAATAGTTCTCATATTTGTAATATCTTGATAAATGCCAATGAACAATTAGAACATCTTTACATATCAAAACACTTCTTTAAAAGTTAATAAAGTGGCTTAAATCTCTTCATACAGCTTCTTTGCATTTGCAATTTCTCTCACAGAATATTCCTTTATTCCTTTCGGGAAATCTACTTGAAAGAAACAAGTTATTGACAATATAACCGTCTTTCTAACAAAGTTTTGTGAAGATATTCAGTTGTGAGAAATTACCAAGACAAACTGAAGAAATACAGGGGAACTTGTCAAAACTCATATGCTGCGAAACCTCAACAACATGTTAGAAATTAAAATGAGTGGAACTGCAAATACACCATTGATGAGTTATTCAGAAGTCAATTTAGACAAGTTGCACTGTCCTTCCTTCCCCCTTCCTGAATTTTCTCGATCTTCTTCAAATGATAGGTTGCCAGGTTATGAATGGAACGTACACAGCAGCTAAGCAGTCTGAACAGTCCACTAAGTTTTTGTATTGTGAATCTTTAGGTAAATGAAAAGCCAAATATTAAATCTGTATATCATAGGTACATTGATAAGTTTCTATAGCATAAATGCACAATAACTTTTGTCATTTGAGCATTCAGAAGAATTTCAAAAGTGATCAAGGGCAATTATTCTGGAAATTGTTTAAAATTTAAGATTCTTGTTTCACTAATCTGAATAAGCATATCAATTCAAAATGATAACGTTAGGGCATTCACAAGATTCTACAAAGTGGTCAAGGGCATTAACTCTGGAAATTGTTGCAATTTAATATTATTCTTGTTTTTCTAATTTGAATAAGGCATATCAATAATGCATTTAGAGTATTCACAAGATTCTACAAAGTGATAAAGGGATATAACTCTGGAAATAGTTAAAATTTTAAAGGATTCTTTTTTCACTAATTTGAATAAGAGAGAGAGAGAAATGGGGTTTACCGTCCACTTGACACAAACTAGGTCATTTCAGGACTAACACATGGTACAATTTTATTTCAATAATTCGCTTGCGCGTAGGGGTCTTTAGCAGTGGGGGGAAACCGGAGGACATGGAGAAAACCCACGAGGTTGGACAGGCGACCCTACTCCTTGTCACGTACAACCAATTTAAATAAGGCATATCAATTAAAAATGATAACCTGTAGAGTATCCATAAGAAAATGAGGACGTGGTCAGACAGAAAGGGGAGACAGCAATATACACCACATTTCAATGTGGACGTATAAATACTAGATTATGATATATGAGAGTATGGTGTTTCTGTGTGTTGAAATTTGAAAGCAATGTCAGCCATGCAAGCTTGTTAATTCTGTTAATAAGACATCAGTTAGTAAATGAAATTTGATATTTTTAATGATTGGTTAGAATTCAATTTGAACAAATAGTCAAATGCATGCAAAGTGAAAATGATAACTTTTGCATTAAAGAATATCTGAATATTATTGACTGTGTATAAAATTGACAGATTACTTAATAAATTATTATCTTATGTTATGAGATTTGTGCATAATGATAATTTTTTTTGTCTGTTGTTTTAGTAGTTTTAAAAATCTTTTAAATGATATCATATTATGCCAAATAATATCAAAATGATTACCTTCTGCACATTTTGTATGCCTGATCTTCAAATTTGAGCTAGTGATGTATGGAGTTGAAAGTGGTGCCAAAAATGCAATTTATCCAGAAAATATGTCATTCCTTTTTTATCTTATATTTGAACAATAATAAAATAAATTATACCTGTATACAAATTTCAATACCTTAAATTTCTGTCTTAAAAAAAAGAATTTTAAATCAAATTTACCAATTAAATAGAATAATAATATAACTTATTAGAAGAAAAATAATTTTTTCTATTCAATAACCATGCAACAGTCATACTTGTACATACACAACATACATCTATATTCATCAAACAAACTATATAAAAACAAACATGCTTCCGTGTTTCTCATGATTTTAAAGAATATTTATAATACAAACGAAAAATACTACTAATCAAAACTGATTTTCAAAAATTTAACTGATTACTGAATTTTAACCTCCCACCATTTTAAAAAGAAAGCCAAATTTAATATATATTAAGAGCATTCATACCCATACAAATGTAATATCGCTAGGCTGACTACCAAATTAGATTTAATAAAGTAATTATAAACTTGTACTTCTCAATTCTACTTCTTTAACAAAGGATTTACATTCAAATAATCAATAAGAAAACAATATAATCACACTAAAACAGGGAAAAAACAATCAAAAAGCAAATATAATATTTTAATAACATAATAAAAATAATATTCAGAGTATATTTGCCTTTTAATTGTGATGTGTTCTGGGCAAGTTTCTTACTAAAGACATTTAACTTTTTACTTATATAATCGATAAAGTAATTGAAATACAATTACATAATCTTTTTTTTTTCACAAATAAATACAAACAGAAACTTGATCAGAAATAATAAACAACCAACAAAAATGCAGGAAGGCAAGCATCAATTTAAACAGGTGAGCAAAGAAATCACTTTTTCAAGGGTTCTAGATATAAATAAATAAATAAATAAATACATGTAAACAACAACAACAGCACATGCTAAGCTGACTTCTCTCTCAGCATGCATTGTGTGTATGTATATAGTAATTGTGTCCTTTAGCTTTTCTATTAAATTTATATTTTAACTCAAGAAAATGGCAGTGATAAAATATTTTATTATAATTTTTGAAAACTTTAAATAATATAAATAACAATAATTCTGTAATACATATAAGTGAAGTCACACAAAAAATTATACAAAAATATAATTATATAATATATTCAAGCTACTCCTTTAAATAAATCAATGATTTCAAAGCTCACCTGCTTCTGAATGAAGGTCAATATATTTTAAATTCAAATTACCAATTTTTTTCTGCAGTCAGGGGGTATGACAGAAAAAAATATTTGTTATTTGAATAAAAAATATAGCATACAAATCAAATTTAGTTGCAATCTACAACTTTGTTAATGGTCCATTTGACAAATACATGCAGTACATTATCAAAAGATAAATAAATTTTGTAAAGAAAATCAATAAACTTTCCAATTTGAAAATGAATTAGCTATAACATGAACATTGTACTTATTGCATAAATTTACCAAATGGTTCTGTATATCTCATGCTCAGAAATTCAAGAAAAAAATTGTTTTTTAAACGTTCAGCTGCCATAGATAGCCAACGACAAACAATTATTTTCACTGCTGCCTAGGTTTTGGGATTTGTGGATTAAAATATGATGAGATGTCTGACATTTGAGATCATACCTTAGCACTTTGGCCTCTGCCATTTTAATGAAAAAAGTTATAATGAAAAAAATTATATAAGTTAAAGCTTGCTGCCTTAGGTTGATTGATTTTTATGTTCTTTTATTTTAATCAAGATGAAGAAGTGCAACCAAAACACGACCAAAAGCATGATCCAAATCCAAACAACCACCAAATCAGTCTTATTAACAACATAACCACTATTACAGCTAGCAAGAATTCCTGCATACTAGCATCCTCAATATTTATTGGTTCCCAACCTAATGCCAAAACTGAAAGTTCAGAGCTGGGCTTTTCATGGACTTGAGTAGATTCTTCCACAATCTCTTGTGTGACTTCAAGACAGAGTTGCTCAGGTTCACTCTCGGCAACTGTTTGTGGTTCTAGAATGAAATAGTAGCAAAACAACTTACCACAATGTATAAAAAATATACTCCTAAAAATGAAAGCTGTTCAACTTAAAGATCTGGAACTATCCAGGCCCAAATTGTAACAAAGTATTATAACTTAAAATGAGTAGCATCATCCTCTCAAACCAGAAGTAATCCATACTTTTAGCCTTAACATAATTAATTTAATTTCTGTTTGTTGGGTAATAGCCTCACATTATCTCTAAGCCAAATGTGATACGAGTATCTTAGTTAGACCTTGTTACTTTATTCAACGTCAGTTTCGATAGACTGATACATTCAGGCTTTATTTAAAAGATAATACAATAATTGTGAGGATAAAATTAGACAATGATGAATTGGTTTCATGAAAGTCCATTTTCAGAATAGAATACTAAACTTAAGTTGAACATCTTTTTGTATAAACAGTTACTGTACATAGCCCATTAAAACAGCAAGATTTAAATTTTTCTCATTCTAACATGCCAAAGAAAGTGAACCCAAGTTTAATAAAGGCAACAAAAAAACAACAAAAATATGGTGTGCATTGATCAAATCTGAAGAAAACTATAGAAAGAATAAAATAAAGTTCAACATCAAATTAAAGAATAAAAGTGAAAAGATGTAAAATCTTGTGATTTGAAAAAAAAAGGTTACATAGTGTATGAGAAAGAATCGAAAAAAAAAGTGAAAAAGTCACTGGGTATTCTGTATATCACTATATATATATAGTATTCAATACAAGAATTACCAACATGACATTTTCAATACGATTTGTTCATAGCCATTAAAGTGGTGAACAAAATGAAATTTCTTGTGTTTAAATGAAAGGCTTTGGAATGTTCAGATGACCACATGAATACAACTAATGGAAAATCATTTCAAAGCGCGCTGAATTTTTCTTTGCTTTGGTTCAATGATGACCTCTGAAGTCTGCTCCATCCAAAATATTTCTACTTCAACTTCTATTGAATAAAATTCTTGTCTCACAAGCCGTTCCTCAGCATTCAAAAACCCTGGCACATGCAGAAAAACAAAATCAATCATTTTAACAAAATAAAACAAAGCACACACAGAAAAATGAGAGTTCTAATAGTGATATTCTTATGCAGTTAGATTTCAGATTTCAAAATCTCAACTAAGTTTATTTTCATTTATAGATCAATTAATAAATGTTTGTTGTGTGTAATTTGGAAATCTCTATTCTTAATCAAAAGAGTTTTAAAATAATGTTAGTATGTTAACCTTCAGTTATAATATATTAATTTCTAAGATTTTCTAGTATCTGATTTTAATAATAAAAAAAAAAACAAAGAAAAATAAGTAAAACAGTAAAGAAATTTATAGAGTAGAAAGTTTATAGTGTCATGCAAATGATGACAATAATTGTATTAATTTTTTTATAGTTTATTTCATAAAATATTCTATCCATATATTATAAAGGTTATCGCTATGTACAACTCAATTTTAAAAATGTGAGATACTAGTACTATATTATTATTACTATTCTAATCTGATTAATCGCAGTTATATCAAAAAAAAATAACATCTTAAATGAACAATTTGTATGAGAACACCCACTCCCACCCAATCCCCTTCATATCATTACCTGCATTTGTCATTAGGCCAAGGGCAGATGACACTGGATTCCATCTTTCAAATAAATTACATATTGGGACCACAACCCATTATACAGGTTCCTCGATGATAATACATACTTGTACTTAGTTTTGCAGACAGTGGTAGGATATATTCCAAAACATGTGAAATTGGTGAAATCTGGTTGGATTTTGACAATTTGTCCATTTAATAATAATTTTTAAGGAAACTGTAGAAACCAGTAGTTAATATGAAACATTTTCCAAAAAAAAACCCTAGATGTACCATGGCATTGGCAATCATATATGCAGAATAAAAACATTGCAATTATTTTCAATTTAACTACCATTCAAAAAGGGGTGAAAAATAAAAAGGGAGCTACAGTTTAAAATCATCAACTATATCATATATCTCTACTATATAAATGTTCTATATTCTAAAGGGTATAACAAAAAAGAAAAGAAATTCACTAACATCAATGCATTCAATTTACATAAATCTTGCCATTTTACACAAATATACATAAATATTATGGGTCGAACATGTACACATGCCCACATTCTACATCTCTCATCTTCAAGTTCTTTTCAGAAATGGCTGATTTTCCAGCTATCAAGATGAAATAGAAACCGTTTAAAATCGGCATGTAGAATGTGGTAATACTGTACAATTAAATAATAATAAGCTGCAAATGCTCGATAGCCCTGAACACAATTAGCTTAACTTAAATTATTCATCTTAACCCCCCCCCCCAAAAAAAACCCTAATCTAAGTTTGTGATACATTCCATGTATAGAAAGGGCAAAATTATGATCATCAAGAAAGAATTTAACTTTATTCCAGGTCATACTCAATGACAATCGTAAACATAATTCATTGTGTTAAAATAAAGGGGAATAATTCAAACTTATCAACGGTAAATTATGTGTTGATTCTGCTTTAATCAATCAAATGATGTCTTAGATAAAAATATTTTTGCTCTATGTCAATAAGTATATTTATTCGAATATCGCTACCCATTTTGTCAAATTTTTCAGGAATACATTATAGTTAATGAGTAAAAAAAAAAATCAATCTCATCTGTGTTGAAATTGTAATCCTATATGTCTTAAATCATAACAAAAAACTAATTTTGTTTAAAATATTATTTCTGGTTCAGTCACTGGATAATCAAGTGATAACATCTTGATAATAGATCATTTCATGGTTATTAAATTTGGAATTAAGGCAACTATGATGACCCGTGCACATCACGTATATATGCCTTGCTTAACCAGTAATTCAAAAAAAGTTATTAAAAAAGAACAAATAAGATATGTTCACTATAATTGAAGTCAAGCTTAAAATGGATCATTGAAGTGTTCCGATTGTTACAAATCAATTCATAGAAACAAATATTACACAGAAGCCCATTTTACTAGAGAGTTCGCAGAACCATGAAATGACTTATAGAAGTGTGACAATGAAAGTAAGGCAAAATACAGTTGTTGGAAATGCTTACTTTCAACGAAAATTTCAATCCATGTTTTGGCAACGCCAGCTTCATTTTGAGCTTCACAAATGTATTTGGCTTCTTCATCGGCTGTGATGCTATGAATAGTTAGTGTACAGCGGCCATCTTTGTGGTATTCAGTAACGAATCGTTCAGTTATATCTAACTGAAGTTCATCCTGTAATAAATTGTTATTAAACATAAGTTTATTTACACATATTCTTTTATAAGTATGTATTTATTAATTATCTAAGAAATATTCAAATCATCTAAGTCAATTATTTTTTTAATATTTTATTAATCTTACATTACCAATTAAAGACCATTTATCAGGATTTCATATTGCAACTGGATATAAACTCTCAACATCAAAATATTTTGTTTGAAGTCGACTGCAGCCATCATCAAGGCTGATATGGAAATCATTTGAAGTTTGGATATGAGTACTCACCTTAAACCACTTAATGGTAGGAGTTGGTTGACCAACTACAATACATTCAACAGTAACTGACGTGCCTTCGAATACTTCAAGTTGTTTTTGGAGGGTCTGCGTGAAACGGGGTGCTTCATGCGCTCCAATTTCTTGGACTGAAGGAGCGGCTTCTTCTGGCTGCTCCTTAGGCGAAACTAAAAAATTTGAAAAGCAACTTAAAAATAATGCATTAAACAATCCTTTACTACGTTGTAATATCTATTGTAATCACTGTCAGTGATGAAAGAATATACTTTATAAATCATTTCATGTACAAACATGAATTTTATCAAGGCTTACCAATTTCTGCAGGACTTTCCTCTTGTTTCATCTCAAAAGCAACTTCTACCTGTTGCGTTTCTTCAACACTTTCTTCTTTGATCTTCACAGTTTCTGATATGTCAATATCAGTGCTTATTTCTGGGGTTACTTCTTCAAGTTTCTCAGCTGGAAATAAATAATGTTTAATGGAGCTAAATCTACATTCTTTGGAGCTTAAAATGGATGGAAATCTGTCTAAAAGCACATATTCATGTAATATGAGTACATGTAAACTGATTTACATTCACTTCTTAAAACTGTTATAGTAACTTTTAATCAGTTGAGTTTCTCTAAATATGATAGCAGTTCAAGTTGAATGGCAGTCACTCATGTCTGTTTAGTCCAGTCTACATGGGAAGTATGGTTTGACATTTCACTTATGCACTGACATTTAGCCTCGTTCACCAAGGCACCTCATTACAAATCACACTTGAGATCATTGTAGTGTCTTACATTTTTGATATAAGGAGCCCATATTTTCATGGTAAGATAACAACATCACTATTGATTGGATGATTGGAATGTACCAATAATTCATCATATTTATGATACTGAGTTAGAGCTTTATCAATATAATTTTGTAAGCTTTAAATTAGTTGCTCACATTCAGGTAAATGTTAAATGCGATTTTATGTAAAAATGCGCTAAGTATATAATGTTACATTTTTCATATATGCATACTATGTGATGCAGTTAACTTACGTTTAACTGTGATATATGCCGCTGTTGTAACTTTGCCATGTTCATTTTCTAGGATTACCATATATTCTCCTTCATCATCAGCAATCACTTCAGGAACAACAAGGCGACTGAAGCCATCATCAATACTGATATGGAAATCAGTTGAAGTCTTGATTGGTTGATCATCCAAGATCCATGTAACCATGGGCGCTGGGAAGCCAACAAATGTAACTTCCAAGTGTAGAGTTTCTCCTTCTGCCACAGTAATGTTCTTGTAAGTTGAAATAAATTCTGGCTTTTTACCTTCAGTAACAGGAGATTCCTCTTTTACTTGTACGGGAATAGATTCCTCTTTTGGTATTTCAAATTCTGCCTCTGATGAAATTGACAAAACTGATGATTCCTCTTTTATTTCTAACTGTGTTACAGTGCTTTCTTCTAAAGCAGACACTTTTTCAGACAATTCTGTGAGTACTACAATTTCTGAATCAGCACTTTCTGATGGCTTTTCATCTTCAATAAATTCTTCTTTAGATTTAACTTTAGTAGCTACATCTGTTTGTACAGTAATAGTTTCTTTGATTTCCTCAATTGTTTCTTCTGTTGGTGCTTTGACTTCAACATCAACACCCTCTGATGGTTTCTCTTCCTCAACTGTTTCTTCTTTAGCCTTAACTTCAGAAACAACTCCACTTTCCACTGTAATAGTTTCCTTAATTTCTTGAATAGTTTCCTCAGCTGGTGCTTCAACTTCAACATCCACACCTTCTGATGGTTTTTCTTCCTCAATGATTTCTTCTTTGAATTCTATTTTTGATACAACATCAGCCTGTACTTCAATGGTTTCTTTAATTTCTTCAATAGTTTCTTCAATTGGTGCTTCGACTTCCACATCAACACCCTCTGAAGGTTTTTCTTCCTCAATAACTTCTTCTTTGATTTCTACTTCAGAAACAACATCAGCTTTTACTGCAATCGTTTCCTTTATTTCTTCAATGGTTTCTTCTGCAGGAGCTTTGATTTCAAGATCCACACCTTCAGATGGTTTCTCTTCCTCAACAATCTCTTCTTTGGCTTCTACTTCAGAAACAACATCAGCCTGTAATACAATGGTTTCCTTAATTTCTTCAATGGTTTCTTCTGATGGTGCCTCTATTTGAAGATCAACACCTTCAGATGGTTTCTCTTCTTCAACAACCTCTTCTTTGGCTTTTACTTCAGACACAACATTTTCTTTTACTGCAATTGTTTCCTTTATTTCTTCAATGATTTCTTCTGCAGGGGCTTCTATTTCAAGATCAATACCTTCAGATGGTTTTTCTTCCTCAACAACCTCTTCTTTGGCTTCTACTTCAGAAACCACATCAGCTTGTACTGCAATGGTTTCCTTAATTTCCTCAATAGTTTCTTCTGTTGGTGTTTCTATTTCAATATCAACACCTTCAGATGGCATTTCATCCTCAACAGCCTCTTCTTTGGATTCTACTTCAGAAACAACATCAGCCTGTACTGCAATGGTTTCCTTAATTTCCTCAATGGTTTCTTCAGTTGGTGTTTCTATTTCAAGATCCGCACCCTCAGAAGGTTTTTCTTCTTCAACAACCTCTTCTTTGGCTTCTACTTCAGAAACAACATCAGATTGTACTACAATTGTTTCCTTAATATCTTCAATGATTTCTTCAGTCGGTGTCTCTACTTCCAGATCTTCACCTTCAGCTGGTTTATCTTCTTCCACAAGCTCCTCCTTGGATTCAACTTTTGAGACAACATCAGCTTGTACTGCAATTGTTTCCTTAATCTCCCCAATAGTTTCTTCAGTTGGTTCTTCTATTTCAAGATCAACAGCCTCTGAAGGTTTTTCCTCCTCAACAATCTCTTCTTTGGCTTCTACTTCAGACACAATATCAGCTTGTACTTCAACTGTATCCTTAATGCCGTCAATAGTATCTTCGGTAGGCATTTCTATTTCAAGATCAACACCCTCAGATGGCTTTTCTTCTTCAACAACTTCTTCTTTGGCTTTTACTTCAGAAACAACATCAGGTTGTACTGCAAGGGTTTCTTTAATTTCATCAGTGGTCTCTTCAGCAGGAGCTTCTATGACAAGATCAAAAATCCCAGATGGCTTTTCTTCTTCAACAACCTCTTCTTTGGCTTCTACTTCAGAAACAACATCAGGTTGTATTGCAATTGTTTCCTTAATCTCCCCAATAGTTTCTTCAGTTGGTGCCTCTATTTCAAAATCAACAGCCTCTGATGGTTTTTCCTCCTCAACAACCTCTTCTTTGGCTTCTACTTCAGACACAATATTAGCTTGTATTTCAACTGTATCCTTAATGCCGTCAATGGTGTCTTCGGTAGGCATTTCTATTTCAAGATCAACACCATCAGATGGTGTTTCTTCTTCAACAACTTCTTCTTTGGCTTTAACTTCAGAAACGACATCCGGCTGTACTGCAATGGTTTCTTTAATTTCATCAATGGTTTCTTCAGCAGGAGCTTCTATGACAAGATCAACACTTTCAGATGGCTTTTCTTCTTCAACAACCTCTTCTTTGGCTTCTACTTCAGAAACAACATTAGGTTGTACCGCAATTGTTTCCTTAATTTCCTCAACGGTTTCTTCAGTTGGTGCCTCTATTTCAATATCAGCATCATCAGATGGTTTATCTTCCTCAACAAGCTCTTCCTTGGATTCAACTTTAGCAACAACATCAGCTTCTACTGTAATTGTTTCTTTAATTTCTCCAATTGTTTCTTCTGTTGGTGCTTCTATTTCAAGATCAACAGTTTCTGATGGTTTTTCCTCCTCAACAACCTCTTCTTTGGCTTCTACTTCAGAAACAACATCAGCTTGTACTACAATAGCTTCCTTAATTTCTTCAATGGTTTCTTCGGTCGGTGTCTCTACTTCAAGATCCTCACCTTCAGCTGGTTTATCTTCTTCCACAAGCTCCTCCTTGGATTCAACTTTTGAGACAACATCAGCATGTACTGCAATTGTTTCCTTAATCTCTCCAATAGTTTGTTCAGTGGGTGCCTCTATTTCAAGATCAACAGCCTCTGATGGTTTTTCCTCCTCAACAACCTCTTCTTTGGCTTCTACTTCAGACACAATATCAGCTTGTACTTCAACTGTATCCTTAATGCTGTCAATGGTGTCTTCGGTAGGCATTTCTATTTCAAGATCAACACTCTCGGATGGCTTTTCTTCTTCAATAATTTCTTCTTTGGCTTTTACTTCAGAAACAACATCAGGTTGTACTGCAATGATTTCTTTAATTTCATCAATGGTCTCTTCAGCAGGAGCTTCTATGACAAGATCAACACTCTCAGATGGTTTTTCTTCTTCAACAACCTCTTCTTTGGCTTCTACTTCAGAAACAACATCAGCTTGTATTGCAATCGTTTCCTTTATCTCCCCAATAATTTCTTCAGTTGGTGCCTCTATTTTAAGATCAACAGCCTCTGATGGTTTTTCCTCCTCAACAATCTCTTCTTTGGCTTCTACTTCAGACACAATATCAGCTTGTATTTCAACTGTATCCTTAATGCCGTCAATGGTGTCTTCGGTAGGCATTTCTATTTCAAGATCAACTCCCTCAGATGGCTTGTCTTCTTCAACAACTTCTTCTTTGGCTTGTACCTCAGAGACAACATCAGCTTGTATTGCTATGGTTTCCCTAATTTCATTAACAGTCTCTTCAGCAGGAGCTTCTATTTCAATATCAACACCTTCAGATGGTTTCTCTTCTTCTACAGTCTCTTCTTTGGCTTCAACTTTAGAAACAACATCAGCTTGAACTGCAATGGTTTCTCTAATTTCCTCAGTTGTTTCTTCACCAGGGGCTTCTATTTTAAGATCAACACCTTCAGATGGTTTTTCTTCTTCGACAAGCTCTTCGTTAGCTTCTACTTCAGAAACAACATCAGATTGTACTGTAATGGTTTCCTTAATTTCTTCAATGATATCTTCAGTAGGTACTTCTATTTCAACATCAGCACCCTTGGTGGGCTTTTCTTCTTCAACTGTCTCCTCTTTTGCTTGAACTTTACTTACAACATCACTTTGTAATTGAATAGTTTCCTTGATTTCCTCAATGGTTTCCTCTGTTGGGGCTTTAATTTCAACATCGGCACCCTCTGATGGTTTTTCTTCGCTCACAATCTCTTCTTTAGCATCGACTTCAGAAAGAACATTAGCTTGTATTTCAATTGTTTCTCTCATTTCTTCAACAGTTTCTTCAGTTGGTGCCTCAATTTCTACATCAACTCCTTCTGTGGGTGTTTCTACAATAATTAATTCTTCCTTAGGTTCAACTTCTGAGACAATATTAGATTGTATGTCTATTGTTTCTCTTATTTCCTCAATAGTCTCTTCAATTGGTGCTTTAATTTCAACATCAACACCATCTGATGGTTTTTCTGCTTCAATAGTTTCCTCCTTGGTTTCAACTTCTGATATAACATCAGCTTGGACCGCGATTGTTTCCTTAATTTCTTCTATGGTCTCAATCTCTGGTGCTTTGATTTCAATGTCAATTGTTTCTTTTGATTGCTCCACTTCAATCTGTTCTTCAGTTGTCATTTTTGCTTGAAAAGTTTCTCGAACCATGACTGTTTTTTCTTCAGTCCTTTCAGACTGAACTTCGGCTTCAACCTTCTGTTCAAAAGGGATAGTTTCCTCAACACGTTCTAATTTGGTGCTCTTGCAGGTGATTGTTGGTCTTTCATACACAACTATTTCTAACTCGGGAGCAGTAGATTCAAATTCTATTTTTTCCATTTCAATAGTACGCTTCACTACACTTTTGTCTTCAGTCTTCTCTTCAAGCTGTACTTTGATTTCTGTTTCAGATCTAGATGGAGATATCTGTATGAATTCCTTGAAAGTTTCATCTTCCTGTTTTGGTAACTCTGTCCTTTCTTGTTCCACTTGCAAGGTCTCCTTATAAGTGACTGTCTCCTTTGTTTCTACATCAACAGATATTTTATCAGTTTCTCTTTCAATAGTTATTTCTTCACGGAAAGTTTTGTCTTCCTCTTCTTCAGTTTGATCACCACCTAAAATTAGACAAGAGTGAATAAGATAAGTTATCAAGCATTAACATTTTTATATACCGTACTGTCATGTACATCAGATGTCTAAATAATATTTTCATGAAGCAAGACAAGGTGGTCATTCTTGTAATATCTGTATGCAGTAAAAATTGTATGATTTCTCTTTTTGATATCCCTTCTTATTTGCTTGATGAGTTTATATAGCTCAACAATTCTCATTCTACTTTTGTCATATAACTTCTTTAAACTTATATTTGCATGTATTGGGTGGTAGAAAAACATGTGGCACAATAGTTCACTGAAAATTTAAAATTCTCACTGTATAAATGAAATGAAATCGGGTTTTAAAGCCCCATTTTTCTACTCCATATGGGCTAACAAAGTTGGGCCAACTAGATACTGTTCTTTATTATATAGCTAGGCCCTTCATTCTACACCACTAACCAGGGGAAACCATGCCGTAAAATCATGAGGCATGTTCTTGGTCAACACTAGGATCAAGTCTAGGACCTCACTATGTAAATAAAATTATACAATTATAAGACACTTTCTGTTTTCTTAGTAAAAGACACAAAATTTGTGTTTGAAAACAAAGTGCCATAATAAGTGTTCAGTTGCTAATACCATTCTTCGGTATCCCAGTTGATTCACAAAAGTAGGACATTAAAACCTGATTTCATTTATGTGAGTGTATAAAATTGCTGTTCATTTTTTTACAAACAATATAGTACAGAGCTGTATTAGAAAATGTTAGCTTGATGCAGCTACCTTTAGATCAAAAGTTTCTTGTGTAGTTTTTAATGGTTTATAAACTGAACAGTACTAATGAATGTAAATATTAATATACCTGTAACAGTTATATAAGCAATGGATGAGCACTGTCCAACTTTGTTTGTAGCTTCAACTCTATATTCACCTTCATCCTCAGGTAAGACTTTGTTAATTATCAAAGTTGACTTGTATTTCTGGTGTATAATTTCAATGTCATCTTCAGCTATAATTTCTTCATCTTCAAAGTTCCAGGTTATATCTGGTATAGGGAATCCTGTCACTTCAACCTCAAGTTTAAGAACTGATGATTCATTGACTGTCACATCCCGGAGTAAAACAATGAAGTTGGGTGCCTGAGCTTCTTCTTCAGGTAAATCTTCAGCTTCTTTCACCTCCTTCAGGATATTCTTTACAAATTCAGTTGCAAAGGTTTCTATTTCTTGTATACCTGCTGTAGCCAAGGCAATTGGTTTTTCAGATTCTACCTCTTGTGTTTCAAGTGCATCTTCTAGCAATTCTATCTTAAATTCTTCTGGTTGTTTTGTGCCGGGTTGTACAACATCTAACTTAATTTCCGATGTAATAGGTTCCTCTGAGGGTTTCTCTTCAATAATTTCAGTTTGTGCTGTAACATCAGGTTCTATTGTGGTTTCAGTTTTAAATTCTGCTGGTTGTTGAGCATCTGATAGGGCTACATCAATTTCAGTTTTAGATGTTACGGGTTCTTCAAGAGGCTGTTCTTCAAGAGCTTCAATTTCAGTAGTAAAAACAGTTTCTTCCATAGTTTCTGCTTTGAACTCTCCAGGTTGTTCAGCTTCATGTTGTGCAATATCAATCTGAATTTCCGATGCTACAGTTTTTTCGGAACGCTGTTCTTCAAGAACTTCAGTTTCTGTGGTACCAACAGTTTCCATTGAGAGTTCTGTTTTAAATTCCTCTGGATGTTTTGCTTCTGACTGGGCAACATCTATCTGAATTTGAGAGGTTATTGGTTCCTCTGAAACCTGTTCATCAAAAGCTTCAATTTCAGCTGTAACAATTGTTTCTACTTCAGTTTCAGTCTTGAATTCCTCTGGTTGTTTAACCTCTGTTTGAACAACATCAGTTTGAATTTCAGATGTTATAGGTTCTTCTATAGGTTGTTCTTCAAAAGCTTCAATTTCAGTAGTAAGAGCAGTTTCCACTGTGGTTTCTGTCTGGAATTCTTCCGGCTGTTTAGCTTCAGGTTGAGCAACATCTATCTGGATTTCTGATGTTACAAGCTCTTCTAAAGCCTGTCCTTCAAGCGTTTCAATTTCAGTTGTTATAACTGTTTCAACTGTGGTTTCTGTCTTAAATTCTTCTGGCTGTTTAGTTTCAGGTTGAACAATATCAATCTGCATTTCAGATGTGACTGGTTCTTCTGAAGACTGCTCTTCAAGAGTACCAACTTCAGTTGTAACTGTTGTTTCTACACTTGTTTCTGTTTTAAATTCTTCAGATTGTTTAGAATCAGGTTGAGCAACATCTAACAGAACTTCTGACAAAATGGGCTCCTCTGAATGTTCTTCTTCCAGTATTTCTGTTTCATCTTCCAGTATTTCTGTTTCATCTATCTGATCTTTGGTCTCTTCAAGTAATTCACTAGCCTCAATAAGTTCTGTTGATATTTGTTCTTGAAGTCGATGCATTTCTTCAACAAATTGTTGGGTATGGAGAGTGATTTCTGTATCCGAGTCAGCTGGTGTTGGTCTTGGTGACGTAGGTAACGATGACAACATAGAATCAGATGCTTCTTCTGTATCTGGTATGTATTCATATGCTGAAAAAAGGAAATACAGTCATAATGAAATTGCTGCCATTGCACAGCAATAATTAATATATATAATCTTATAGTACAACCACAGTTTACAAGTCCATTTTCGGATCATTTGTCAACTTATTAGAAAAACAAATCCCAAAATGCACATCTACAAAAATAATGGGAAAACTAGAAAACACTGTAACATGATTTGTTTGGTTTAGCTTATATTAGGTCTACGTCTGATTTAGGATTAATGCAGAAACATGAGGAATGTAGTAGAATGTGGTTGTAGATGTACTTAACTATAAATAATGTGACAGATCTGGATTCAATTAAATTTGATAATAATATGTCCATTAATAAAGATCCTAATGCACAAACATGCTCATGGAGCATAAACACTAGTTTCTATTTTTATAAGTTTTCAAATCAGATTTCAATTGATAGCTGAATTTCTTTTAACTTTAATATGAATGTCTGCATATCAACATTCTATATGTACTTACATTCTATTTCCAATAATGCTTTTGTTTCTGCTTGACCAAGTTGATTTATGGCAATACATTTATACTCTCCAGCATCTTGTGGAAATACTTCCACAATCAACAAAGTACACTGACCCGATTCCATGTCATAAGATATCTTGAAATCTTGATTTTCAGCAATTGGCTTGTCATCATGATACCAAGAAATTTGTGGCATAGGATTACCGATGACTTCACATCGAAATTTCACTTCTTCTCCATCCATAACTTTCAATGACATTAGGCCCCAAGTAAATTCTGGTGCTTGACCAAGTTCCACAACATCTTCAAGCTGCACCACTTCTTCTGGAACCTCACTTGTCTCTTCTGTTTTTTCCATCACTGTCTCTTGTTCAACTGGACTAGTTTGGAAAGTTATTTCTACCTCCTCTGCTTTCTCAGATTGTGGTTGACCAGTTATTTCAAATGAAATTTCTTCTATATGTTGTTCTTCAGATGCTTTTTCAATGATCTCAGTTTCTGGGGTTGACTGGACTAATACAAATCCTTCAGTCAATTCTGTATCATCAACATTTTCAGAAACATTTGTTTCATCAACCATGTCAGTTTGGAAAGTGAATGTCATTTCTTCCATTTGTTCAGATTCTGGTTTTCCAGTGATTTCAAAAGAAATCTCCTCTTTGTGTGTTTCCTCCATAGGCTGGTCAATAACTTCTGCATCAGAAGTCGACTGTACTAATACAAATTCTTCAGTCAACATAGAATCATCTACCTTTTCTGTAACAGGTTCTTGGTCAACTGCAGAGGTTTGGAAAGTTAAAGAGACTTCTTCCATTTGTTCTGGCTTCTGCTTTTCTGTTATTTCAAATGATATTTCTTCTTTGTGTTGTTCCTCTGTTGCTTGTTCTATTATTTCAGATTCTGGAGTTGATTGTACCAAGACAAATCCTTCTGTCATATCAGTCTTGTCAACTATTTCTGAAACTGGTGCCTGATCCACAAAATCTGTTTGGAATGTAAGTGTCATTTCTTCCATTTGTTCAGTCTCTGGTTTTCCAGTGATTTCAAAAGAAATTTCCTCTCTATGTTGTTCCTCTGTTGGTTTATCAATAATTTCAGATTCAGGGCTTGACTGAACTAAGACAAATTCTTCAGTTGAGGTAGTATCAACAACCATTTCTGATACTGGTTCCTGGTCCACTGATGCTGTTTGAAAGGTTATTGAATCTTCTTCTGTGGGCTCTGTTTGATCTTTACCAGTGATTTCAAAAGAGATTTGCTCTCGGTGTTGTTCTTCAGGAACAACAGTTTCATCAATTACTTCAGAAACTGGTTCTTGTTGAACAGTATCGGTTTGGAAAGTAAATGTCATTTCCTCCAAAGGTACAGGTTCTGCTTTGCTTGTAATTTCAAAAGAAATTTCTTCCTTATGTTGTTCTTCTGGTAGGACTGTAACGATTTCAGTTTCCACCGGTTTGTTTACTTCATCAACAGACATTGGTATTTCTGTCTCTGATGTGATTATGTCTTCAGGCTTTATTTGAATTGTAAATTGTGCTTCTTCACTTGTGTCAGGAATTTGAAATTCAACTTGTTCCTTCATTGTCTCTGTGCTTAAATCAACCTGAGATACAATCTCTTCAACTTCTGTTGTTTCTTGTTTAGGTTCAACATCTTGCTGTATTAATACCATTTCTTCAGTTGTTGTTTCTGGAATGTGAATTTCCATTTGTACTTCTTGAATTTCATCCTTTACAGGAACAACAGTTTCTCTTTCAGAGACGATTTTAACATCTTCTGGTGCTGAGGTTTGAACATCCACAGTTTCCTCGCTTGGTTTCAATGTCATTTCTACTTCAGTTTTCTCAACAAGTTTGGGTTCCAACGGTATTGCTTGCTTAGAAATAGTTGCCCTTGTCTCAACTACCTGTTCAGACTCTGCTTTTGGAGACTCAACTTGTGGTGTATCTAAAATTTCAACTTCTTTTTCACTTATGCTCACCTTACGTGTTGGTATGACAATTTCCTGACTCTGTCGATCACCTTGAATGATAGTTTCTTGAACACTGACTTCAATCTTTTGGAATGAAGCTCTTCTTGTGGCTTCGGTCACAGACTTTGTCTCAACAGTATCTGATGGCGTCAGTTTGAATATTATTTCTTCTGGTTCGGTTTCAGATTCACTGACGATAGTGATGGTTTCTGTGTGATGCTCATTAGGTTCATCAACAAATGGTGTTGATACCATTTCGTTAGTTACAGTAGTTGTTGATTCAGACATGTGAGAAATAAGCTCTTCCTTTGATGGCTCAATGGGTAGCTGAACCTGTAGTTCAACAGGCGCTATATCTTCTTGTTTCTGCATTACAACAGTGGTTTTATGAACTCCCTCACCTTCCATCACCAAAGGCTCTTCATCCACTTGGCTTGTTAATCTAGTAAGAACAGTTGCCTCCTGAACTATAGTTGTGACATCTGTAGGAGCTACTTGCGGTCCACCAACTTGGAACTGAATTTCCTGCATCTGTGTTTCTTGTGGTGACTGAATTTGTACAACTTCTTTTACCATAGTTTCATCATCACTTGGTTTATGGTCAATCTCTATAGTTTCTTTGTGAACCTCATCTGAAGATATTTCTTCATCATAAGCTGTAGAATATAAAAAATATAATTCAATAAAATATCAGAATATAAATCAGTTTTATAAATTGCTGTATTCATTTTCATTGATGAGTATTTACACAGAGAAAAGAAATATTATAAATGATTAATATTACTAATCTTTGGTATTCACTATTATTTCAGCAATTATTGAAAGAAAGATTGCATTTACAATCTATAACCTTTTTCTGTAAGTGTTTTAAGATGGCTAATGAAGGCGGGCATATGCCATACAGTGTGCTATGAATGAAATTTTGCCCGGACAGCAGCACTATGTCCTGCTCTTATATCGAATTCCAACAGTCAAGGGATCTTTAACGTGCATGCCAATGTGTACACGGGACCTTGGTTTTTCATACCATCCAAATGACTAGACAGCTGTCCTTGTCATGCCCTCCGTTCTGCATCACTGACAAGGGGAAACCACTGGATGAACATTCTTGGTTAATGCAGGGATTGAACTCCCAACCTCCAGGCTAGCGAGCCAGCGTCTTACCCACTTAGCCACTGTGACCCCCAGATGATAATGTAATTCCAAAAAAACTAGCCTGTTTTTTTCATAAGACTCACAGATTAACAAACTTTCCCTCAATCTCATGCACGTGAGGAAATTTCTCACGGAAAATGGTCATTTTTACTTTCATAAAAGGGAGAACTCTCTTACTTCCGTTTCATAAATTGACCTCATGATTGGCTGAATTTGACATGAAACTTCTAATTCCGGTAATATGCTTGACAGCCCAACATGTGTTGTCTCCCGTAAAATTCCATAACTGACAATATGAACAACCAGTATTTACTTATGAATTACAATTTATATGACCTCAATTTCATTTTAGAAAGATCAGAGATATTGCAAGCATTCGAAAATAATACATTTTTACTTACTTTCAACCGTTAGCTGACATGATGTCATGCTTTCACCATATTCATTTACAGCTACGCAAGAATATTCTCCCTCATCATCGGGGAAAACTTCCACAATAATCAAAACACTTTCACCACGTTCCTGAAAAATAACAAAAATCAACATTGTCTTAAAATAGCAAACTAAAAAGGTGTGCTTCTAGGCAATGAAACAAGCATGCACAAGCATTCACAAGCAGTAGCTTGGTTCAAGCCATTCATAAATGTTGTCATATCAGTCTCCATCATATTGGAAATAGACTTGCATTTTTCAGTTGCCTATACACCAATAAGCGAAACGTCTCAAAATTAAACAATTCGGCAACGTCCCATGTGAAGGTTAGGTCTTTGGGAAAGGGTTGGTATGTAAATTAGAATAACTATAAAATCAAACTTAACTATCCTTCATTAAAATACAATAATCGTAGTACTTTTAATGGTAATCAAATTATTTTTAAAAAATCAGACAAACTGTGATTAATTCATTTGTACAGCCCTATAATGTCACTACTGCAGGTATTCAATTTTTGTTGGATGGGGGGTTGGATGGCTGAATGGTTAGCGTGCGCGTGCTGTATCATAAAGTCTGTCATTGAGTCGACTGGCGTGGTTTCGAATCCCCGGTTGTACGTGACAAGGAGTAGGGTCGCCTGTCCAACCTCGTGGGTTTTCTCCGGTTTCCTCCCACTGCTAAAGACCCCTACGCACAAGCGAATTATTGAAATAAAATTAAACCATATGTTAGTCCCGAAATGACCTAGTTTGTGTCGAGTGGACGTTAAACCCCATTTCTCTCTCTCTCTCTCACACAATTTTTGTTGCAAAATATTTACCATAATGACATTTTGTAGGTACAACCTCACTTTCTTGATGGAACATTTATACTTTAAATATTTTGGGGACTTCAATTTAGTGTTATAAAAATTTAAACTTACATCATCAGTATAAATCTGGAAATCACTTGAAGGTAAACATTGTTCTCCATCATGTAACCAGGTTATTTGTGGACTAGGATAACCACGGAATGTGACTCTGAAGACAACTCTTTCGCCATCTTTAGCTGTTGTTGGCTGAAGAATTTCAATGAATTCTGGTGCACTTGTTTCGGGTCCTTCTTCAGGAGCTTGATCAGCAGGAGCATCAGTCTCTGGCTGCTCTTTAGGAGTGGCTGTTTCTTTCTTTGGCTCAAAAGTTGGCTGAATGCCTTCATCTTCTAATCTAGGCTCAGCTTCAATGACAACTTCTGTCCTATGTATGGCTATAAAATAGCAATGACAACCAATAAATGCTTTATCCAAAAATAAAAATCTATTTCACAACAGATTGTACAATTATTACATATATATGTATATAATATAAACACATGGTATAAAATTAGTAGAAAATATTTCTGCAAGTCAACAAGCACCATGTGTTGGATGTTTTCTTAATTTAGACATATAGTTAACTTACGATTAACTGTAAGTGTTGTTTTACATCTGGTTACACCCATAATATTTTGAGCCTCACAGATATACTCCCCAGCATCTTCAGGTGTTACATCAACTATCACTAAAACATGATTATTTTGATGTTTTTCCAACTTCATCTTATTACTTGGATGAATTTCCAATTCATTGACAAACCATTTGACTTCTGGTTCTGGTTGACCCGTTAGTTCAATTTCCAACCTAAAATTGATGAACCCATAATTAAAATGATCATTTAGTTTTACAAATGCCAATTTTAAAACCCACTCTAATAAATTTCTATTTCTTTGAACTTCAAAATTTATCAAAGAACAAGACGTCCCTTAAATATTGTTTTGAAAAAAACCAAAAACACACCAGGTCCCGATTCCTAGAAAATTCTTAAAGTTAGCAAAAAGTCATGCTTCACTTTTTCTTACGTAAGAAACTTTATAAAATACTGTCTCTAGATTTAAATGCATTATTATGTATTTTCTATACAGACTATGTTTCTAAAGGATTTTCTTGTCTTTTAATTGTCTCTTTGGTATAAAAAAATGTTGGAAATGCTGTCGATTATCTCTACGGTCAGCTATCTTGTCTGAAGAAGAAACAGACTTAGGGGTTGGTAAGCAAGCCGTATACCTTGCTTGGGACTTGTGCTTAGATTGACAATGTTTAAGAACAAAGTTGTGCTTATGTATTTTCTTGGAACACATAAGAATGTGCTTGTGCTTACCCTGAATTCGACTTACAATCTAGGCACAAGAATGTTCTTAAGAATTTTCTGGAAACACAAAATAAGGTGCTTAAGAATTTTCTAGGAATCAGGCCCTGGGTATATTTGCGTAAAGTGCCTCTGGCTATGGGATTTAGATAACTATTTATATATTTTCATTTCTTTTTCTCCAAACTTCAAAATTCATTAAAGAACATGCATCCCTTATATATTGTTCTTTTAAAAAAAAACCTGTGTATATTTGCGCGAAATGCCTCAAGCTAAGGGGTCTGGATAGCTATTTATATAGGCTTGTTTTACTGTGATAGCCATATTTAACATCACATTACAGTATGCAATATAGCAAATACCTTATCCGATTACATAATGATATTCTGCAATTTTGGTGGTAATTTCTGGACCCCTGAATATTTTAGTTGAAACTTTTAGATATTGTTAAAATGATATAGCCACTTGTATCAAAGAATACATATGAAATCTTTAATCTATTTAATTTTATACAAACACACACAGCTTATCATATTGGACCTAGGTTAGCAAACTTACTTGACAGTTCCACCTTCTGGAGCTTCAACTGTTGGAAGAAGAGGTTTGGTGAAATTAGGAGACATCTGTATAGAACTCATGTGATGTTCTTCTACTAAAACAACATCTGGTGTATCTTCTCCTTCCATCATGGTTACAGCCGAAGTAGTGTGAATCTCTGATCTTGCAGTTTCTCGTGTTATGATTGTTTCAGTTGTGGTAGTAGTAGTTGGTTCTAAAAGAGAAAAACAATACTTTATATAGAAAAACAAACATTTTCAGACAGAGTGGTAAAGAAAGACTGCAATTAGTGCATAGAAATTAGTAAAAGAAAAATAGTATTGCTCTAAAATTGAATGAACAAAATACCAATGAGCATAATCTTACCTCTGACAATAAGTGTGGCAGATGATGTTGACTCTCCAAAAGGATTAACAGCTCTGCATATATATTCCCCACTATCATCCAGGAAAACTTCACTGATATCAAGGGTACAGATTCCTGTGTTTGTGTCATAAGCAGGATGGAAGTCTGGATTTGGTTCAATTTCAATTGTATTCTTGTACCATGTTACTGAGGGAATAGGCATTCCTATCACTTTGCAGGTAAATTTGACAGGTTGTCCATCCTCCACTACCTGGGGTTGAAGCATTTCTACAAATTCTGCTGGTACCTCATCTGGTGTCTCCACAGTCAACATTTGTGGCTGTTCTTCTACTATTTCCATTATTACCTCAACAGGTTCTTCAGGTTGTTCTTCCTCTGGAGGCTTAATCACAATGGTTTCACTCAATACAGAGTCTGCTACCTGAGGTTCGGACTCTTGTAATTGAGGTTCTTCTTCAAATTTTATCTGGAAAGTTACTTCTTCTGTTTCGGTTTTGACTGGTGTTTCAGGTTCAAGAGCCATAGCCTTTATCTCTATTTTCTTATGAGCAATCAGTGGTTGTAGTATTTCTTCAAGAACTTCAGATGGTTTTTCACCCTCATCTGGAGTATGATAAACATCTTCCTCACCTTCTTCGGGAGTCACATAAATCTCTGATGAAACTGGGGAATCACCATAAGGATCTTCATGAAATAGGGGCTCCATTTTTGGCCTGTTAATAAAGTCTGGAATTACCTGTTCCTCTGCAACCTCGGAGGAAGCAATTTTCGGTTCAGTAATTTCTACTTCTGTTTGGGTCACTTCCATTGGCGCCTCTTCAGATTCAGGTAGTTGCATAACAAATTCAACTTCTTTACTTTCTCCGGGAACCTCTACATCCATAGAATCTTCTGGTGATTCAATGACTGTTAGATTAGCAGTGGTTGTAGCCTCTCCAGCAGGGTTTTGTGCAATACATACATACTGACCCTTGTCATCTGGGAAAACTTCAACAATGATCAAGCTAATTTCTCCAGTATCTGGCTCATAGGAGATGACATATTCTTCATCATCATCAATATTCTCTCCATTATGGAACCAAGAGATTTGAGGTGGGGGCTGACCAGTTACCTTACAGGACAACCTTATTTCTTGTCCATCTGTAGCAGAGGTAGAATGAAGAGGTTCTACAAATTCTGGAGGAGTTACTAGTTGTGCCATTGGTGATTCTTCAATTCCAGCAGGTGCCATTTGCATGCCAGGAATATAGTGTTCCATGGCGGTTGGGTCTACAAAAAAAAATCCCCAAATGTACACCTTACATGAATATAACACATCAGACAATGCAACATTGTGAAAGTACATTCTCACAAGACAAGCCTCATATTGCCCTGTTTATAAATCTATTTTACATATAATATGCAAATAAAACTTTTTTTTTACTTTGAAATTTTCGAAGATAATAACCATTCTTGATAAACTATTAATGTTTGTCGGTTATTTCTAATTAACTTACCTTGTATTTTAAGAGATGTGGTACTGATAGCTTCACCCAGTTCTGACACAGCTTTACATGTGTATTCCCCAACATCTTCTGGTCCCACATCCATAATAAATAATATACTCTTTCCTTCTTCTAGACGGATATCATAGCGTGGGGATGGTTTAATCTCTACACCATTTACAAACCATGTCACATCAGAAGGTGGTTCTGATTCAATCTGACATTCTAATCTAAAAGATATAATTGCAAAATTTGATAGTAATGGTAGCATGATCAAAATTAGAAATACTGATTAGTATGTTATTCAGGATGTATACATAAGTTATTCTTTTAAATACAATTTGAAATGTACTAAAAGTAAATGCATATATTATGGGAGTCTGTCTCAAACAATAAAATCATACATTTTCTTGAATATAAATGCTTAGATAAGAATATTTCTCAACACAACTGTAATGCTGAATCGAAGTATAACTACCTAGCAATCCCTCTCTCTCGGACATATACTTCAGGTTCAAGTGGTGCTACAACATTGGGTCGTACTTGTTGTGCTATAGCCATTTCTTGTCTTTCAACTGTTGTTACAGTTCTGGTAACAGTGATATCAGTCATCTCTGATTGAGGCAGTTCAACAAACTTTTCTTTTCCTTGAAAAGAATTGAAATGATATGTTGAATACACTACATGAACTACATTACTTTTTGATGGTTCCAATGTGATGTTTTGGAGAAGCTGACCATAATATAAATAACTTAGAAAAAGTGTGAAATAAAATGGAAAAATAAACATACCTGTCAAAGTTAAAGTTGTTTTACAAGTTGTGGTACCAAATTCATTTTCAGCCTTCATTGTGTATTCACCTTCATCATCTGATGCTGTATTAAAGATTATTAGTATGGTACTATTACCACGTTTTATAACCCTTCTATGCTCTGATGATAAAATTTCCTTTCCATTTACAAACCATGTGGTCTTGGATTTTGGTTGAGGAGCAATTTCCACCTCCAATCTGTTAATTGATAATGGTTATAATAAAAATATATCCTCAGTTATAACTAGAGTGTGCTTGGCAGATTACATAAGCATGGATTCCAACCACTCTAAAAGGAATATTTTTCCATAGATATTTTTATATACAAACATGGATTTATACCACCCTAAAAGGGATATCTTTCTAAAAGTATTTTTATATACAAGAAATATTCTTATTTCAGTAATTCCCTTGTGGTCATTAAAAGTTGGATGTCTTTATAAATAGCCTCAATGCTACTACATATGAAAGAAATCAGTACATACTGGGTTGGTTTTCCCGGAACATAGACAGTATATGGCTGAAGTGGTTTAGTTAATACTGGTTTCTGTTTTACAACTTCAACATGAATCTTCTGCCCATGCAGCTTAGCTTCTCTTTCATCTATCATAGACAAAGAAACAAAGGTTACAAAAAATAACTCAATATATACAATTAACACATTAAATGCATTTACCATGCTCTTTCATAATCAGCTAATAATGATTCTAATCATATTGATCATGCAACTGATAAACATAATCACAAAAAAATCAAATTTCGAAAAACAGTTTAGAAAGTATAGAATTATTTAAAGCTATATTTCCACAAACATAATTAGGTCTTCAAATCTTCTAAACTTATTTTAATCCGAAAGTTTTATATTTGTAATGAGTATAAAAGTATAAAAGGTACATAATCTGGAATGTCTTTCTGAATACATAGTGTTATAATTACCACAATTGATGAAGAATATATCTGGTCTGCAATTCCATTGTTTAATCTTCACTCCATGCATATTTGTCTGTCATGCGATTAACCATGATGTTGGAAAACTGGATGATTTCAGGGATTCACTCCATGCAGATTAATTTCTTGTATTTTTCTCATGTTAGTTGACATTATCATGCATTTTTCAAACATTTTACAACAAATCATGCATCCAGTTAAAATGTAACATTTATGATTATTGATGGACAATTGAATATTGTTGCTTCAAAACACACATTTTAAAATATCTAAACTAATTTGGCAGTCAAGCTTTATAAATAATGTAAGCAAAATAACTACATCTAAAACACACTGACTTTTAATAACACACCTACGCTCATCAACTCTCTCTTCTATATAAACATTCCACACACACAAAAAGGGAAATTAATGTCATGTAAGGAAAACGTGGATATTGCAAAGATAATTTTTTTCATACAATTGAAATCATACATATGTGGTAAATTTTTATAAACCCATTTTTGTCAATGAGTATATTATACACTGTTCTAAATATCACATATGATCAGAAAATATGTTCAATATATCAAAAGAATATCTTTGTTATTTTACGCAAAAATGTAAGAAGAATGGTAACAAAGTTTGATTATTAAAGCTGATATTAATTAAAATATGTTGCAAGCTACAACTCCTACCTTGAACATATAACTCTGCTGAACATTCAGCAGTTCCAGCCTTATTCTTAGCTTGACATGTAATAAGACCGGTATCTTCCAGGTAAGCTTCACGCACTGTCAATGTTGTAGTTGTTTGTGTAATTGTAATCTGGAAAACACATCAAGAAATTTAATTAAAATCCCTGATTATTATTTGCAACTTTAAGATATAAATGTTCACGGTGATGGAAATCTTTATACATAAGACATAAATATAAGAATGTTGTTGCAGCACAATGACTAAGCCCACATTTATAGCAATACCATTATATATAAAAATATCATGCACAAGACTATCACAATCTTGGGAGCAATGCTAACAATCGACCTACACAGAAACCTGAAACTTGCCTATAGTTGTGTCCTAGTGTACATCTGGAAGTGCACAATCCAGTATTAAATTTCCAGATTACCAGATTAATAAATCAAAAAGTTTACCTGGAAGTCCCTGGAATTCTGTATATGCTGTATACCATTACGGAGCCATTTGATATCAGGTTGGGGATTGCCTCTAAACTCAGCTGTAAACTGAGCAGACTGTCCTTGTAGAACAATGGTATTTTGAATGGGTTTACCAAAGCTTGGTGGTTCTTGTTGATGTTCTGGTTCACTTTCAAAACCTGTATATATTAAATAACTTCTTTTAAATAAAAATTGTTATCAACTAATTAAAGAGCAATACAATCAACAAAAATACTAAATTTGGTATATTGACATCTTTCTCTTATTTAAACTCCATGAAAACTTTAAACACATATATTAATCAGAAGTTTTATTTTTTTTAAATTATCAGAAACAAAACCTACCGATAACCCTAAGGTATGTTGTACTGAAAACTTCTCCAGTCTTATTGCGGGCAACACATCTATAGTTGCCTGAATCTTCAGCATAGGCTTCTTGAATAGTTAGTGTATGTACACCATCAGGGTTTGAAACCATAAGGAAATATTTGGATGGTTTGACCAAAATTGTGTCACGATACCATGATACAATCGGGGCTGGTTGTCCTACAATCTTGGTTTTGAAGGTAACAGTTCCACCTTCTTCTACTTCTACTGTACGTTGTGGTGGTTCTAATATTTGAGGTGGTTCATCAGGTACCTGTTCTTTTGGAGGTGATTCCAGCATTGATAGTTCTTGAGGTGGTTCCATTGGCACTATAAGAATAGGAAGATGATATCAAAGTTATCTTAACAAAAATTCTTTGGCGGGACATGTTACAATGAATTTCTTTTCATTAACAACTGGTAAATTAATAAAATTTTCTTTCAATAACTTACATTCAACATCAAGTCGAGCGGTGCAAGTTGATTTTCCCACATCATTTACAGCAACACAGGCATATTGTCCAATATCTTCAGGCATAACTTCAAAAATGAGCAACGTAAAGTTATCACCTTCTTCAATAAATTTCCATCTTGGACTTTGTGGCAGTGGTTTACCATCCTGTTGGAAAAGCAAAAGAATAGTCTGGATTAAGTACAAACATATAATTCATTACAACTTCTACCATTTCTCATTTGAAGACTTTGCATAGCTGATAAATTGTTATTGCTCTCTTATATTTAAACCACTGAGTGGTGTGTCACTGGTGGGTTATGTTTGTTGTATATTTTGCAAGGTTATCATAGCATTAAAAAAGAGAACAAACTAATCAGTTTGCAAACTTATTTTCATCATGAAGTATTTCATACCAAATAATCCTGATGATACCACTTATCATTTGAGGATTTTAAATTGCAAATTTATGTTGCGCTCATTTTGGAAAGAAAGTAATTTTTTGTATTATATTATAAATCTATTGTCTATATAAGAAAGTGAAAATCATACACACCTTTTCCCAGTGTACTTTGGGTTTAGGACAAGCAGAGACTTTGCAGTCAAAGGTCATAGGTTCACCAGCCACAGTCAGTGTATCTCTCATCAAACCTTTAAATTCTGGTGATTGAGCTCTCTCTGGTTCTTCTTCTTCAACTACATTCATTTTAGCCTTACACTGGACCATACCAGCTGTATTATATGCCTTGACAGTTATTAAACCAGCATCTTCATTAAAAACTTCTGGTATGTGGAGTTTACTGGATGTTGGAGTTGTTGTAATCTGGTCAAATAAATTAAGCATTTTAGTAATTACTTATGTATTATTAAAATGAATTTCTTTGATACAGTACATTAACAGAGGCCTATTCTTACAGGATTATTTTTTCTAAATAAAAGATGGTGCTTAAATGGGGATCCCTGGTCTAGATATCTGTGAAAATGTGTTGCATATTTTAGTACATTGGCCATTAGCCACATTTGTCACCTATAGAGTTCTAACTTACACTTATTATGAATTGCTATGTCAGTATTTGTCTCTGCTTGATGTGTCAATTTCTTCATACAGGACTGACTGTGGTTGCATAATTATTGCCTATCCACATATATTTATTGTTGCACATTGGATGACAAAGAAATCTTAAAAGAAACTAAAAGCACATACCTGGAAATCACGACCAGGTTGGATCTCAAAGGAATCCCTGTACCATGTAATATTTGGTGCTGGACGTCCTGTAAACTGTACTTCCAATCTTTAAAAATGTATGAAGATGAAGAATTCATAAAATAAAGTAAACATTAAACTATGCAAACATTAATAAAGAATTATTAAATTGAAGAAAGGTTTTCTTAGATTGAAGAAAGGTTTTCTAGATTGAAGTAAGTTTTACTATAATCAAATGTATGATTGCAACTTTCACACCAAATCAAAGAGCATCTGTATCTAAATATGGTGCTTTTCAAAGATGAATACAGATGATAGCATTGACTTACGTTACAGGTTGGCCTTCAGGAACTCTAATAGGTCGTAGAGGATGTTTGAAAGCTGGTGGTTCTCCAAGATCTAAACTAATTTGTTGACGAGAAACCTGTCTTTCTGTGACTTTACCAATTTCTGGAACAAATGAGACAACGGGCTGTGCAGCTTGAACTGGGAGCGGTTTTTGTGGCTTCTGCTGAAGTTTCACTTGCTTAGAAACAACTTGGCGTTCTGAAATAACTGTGCTGGTGTCCTTCGTGACTGTAACACGTGAATCCCCATCTAAACAAAAGACAAAATAAATCAGTATTAGCATCATACCAAGTATTATTTTCAATCTTAAGAAATGTTTTCTTCATTGATAATTATCAACTAAAAATTCAAAAAATGATGATCAACTTCAATGTGTACTTACATCCTTCAAATTTGCGTAGTTCAAATTCAGTAGCTTTTGGTTTCTTCAATGCTCTATCCAATTCAACACTTCTCAACTCCATTTTTTGTCTGCGTTTAAGTTCAATTTCAAGTTCACCTAAAATGAGGATGTTTTCATGGATTCAAAATATTTTTTTAAAATCTAAATGATTAATGCTTTAAAGCATTTCTTTACCAAAATAAACCTACAGAGTAATTAATTTTTTTATAATTCTATTTTTTACTATTACCTTTAGGAGCTTGTCGAAGTCTGGATCGCCAGTCTTCTCTGGGAAGCACCATTAGTGATGTGCTACACTCTTGTTCACCATAAGGATTCTTGGCTACAACTCTGACCTGGCCAGCATCATACTCTCGTACTCGGGGTATTTCGAGATAATGCATCATACCATCATAGGTCACTTTGTATCTAGAAGCCTGGAATTAGATATCCATTTTCAAAATTATTTGTATGTGTATTTTTTTTTATTGGTTGGTAAAAGTCAATAGCTACTTCTGATATTGTTGCCTGTATTGTCTTATGGTTTAGCATATTAGTGTTTATTAGTTAAGTAATTATACAGCATTTAGAATCTTGATTCTGTTTCATTTAGAGAGATGGAATTCCAAAAGTGTAAGTCTTCATGTTAAGGAAAAAATATTTAGTGTGATTGTACTTACACTGACAATCAAGCTTCCATTGACCCACCAGCTGACCCTGGGTCTAGGGTAACCATGAACCTTGACCATAAATTTGGCAGGTTCACCTTCCCCAGTTTCAACAGGTTGCATTTCCAGATCAAAATCTGGTGGTGAAGGTTCCTGAGGAGCATCCACAAACTTCTCATCCAGTACCTTGGATCTGTAATATGTTTACATTAAAAGTGAGCTATTGGTTCTATGTAGGAAAATGAAGAAGGATATGTTATACAAGTTGAAAATCCATTCCTTTCTGCAGGTACATTGACAAAACTAAGATCAAACTTACCCTCTCCAATGTTCTTCCATTTCTTGAAGTCTGAAGGCACCGTCTCCAGGTAACTGAGTGTCAGAAATAATTTTTCTCTTTGCTGTAAAAAATACCAATGAAACTATGACTAATTTTATAGTTCAAATGAATTCAAAAGAAATTATTACATATATGAATATTCCTTAACTTGGTGACATCCATGTTATGTTTGCTTTCTACACGATTTTAAAAAGGCAAAAAGACACCAAACTTACGTTTACAATGTATTGTTGCAGTTGTTGTGTCTTCTCCAACTAAATTGGTAGCTCTGCATGAATACACACCATTATCTTCAGGATATGTGTATAACATGTCCAACCCAACAAATCCAAAGTCATACATTGGCTTAAAGCGATGACCTTATATAGATATATAAAAAAAACCAAGAATTACAGCATGAACACATTATTACATGCAGATTAAAGGGCCAAGAACAACAATTAAATCTTGTGCAGAACATTATAACATCAAATAAATGAAGATAGCCATGGAAAGAAAAATCAAACAAACATACCGTGTAAAAGAGGTTGTCCATCTCTAAACCATTCAACTTTCATATTTGGGTCACCAAGAGGAACAAGTCTGCATTCAAAATGAGCAGAATCGTTCTCTTTCAGTGCTAATAAGTCTTTAATTTGTGTCTTAAACCTTGGCGGTCTCTGTTTTTCCTTGGTGAAGAGATCTTCTTCAGGAGGAGCTTCACCTTCACGGCGAATATATTCTCTGACGGCACTTTCTCGATCAGACAAGGCCCTAAAATTATTAATTTAACAAATCTTGTTGTGAACAGAGATTAGTTTTCAAACAATAATGCCATGAAAGCTAGAATCTATCTTGTTATGAATGGATCTTGAATGTTAAAACATCAAATTATAGTTTCATCTTTTTGAAATTAACAAAGATTGTAGCTTTCACAGAATTCAACAAAAACATCAATCCACCAGCAAATACAATGCAGCATGCTGAAATTAAACATTGAATACTTTCATAGAAATAGACTATTATTAAATTAGTTCAAAGAAATATATCAGTCTGAAATAAAAAAAATATGATGTTATTATTAATTCATTACATGAAATGAAAAAAATACAACTGTTTTTAAATGCACAGACAACTGCAAGACTTGCACTAAAAGCACTGCAATGATTTTCAAGATGAATTTAACAATGATAGTACACAAGGTTAAGTATATTTGATTTTGGCAATTTATGACGATCTGTATATATTGGTACACAAAATGTTCTGATTGGAAAACATTGTTTCCACAAAATGACTGAATAATATGTAAATTCAAATTTTTGAATAATATCAAGTAGTCTGATGTTGAGCATATATACAACCATCTATGAAATATGTAGCCATAGAGATGTAAGTGGTAATTCTGTTTACAATTTTGTCTTCATTAGCCAAGTCGGTGCAGAACAGTAGGACGTTAAACCAATTTCATTTCATTTCATTTCCATTTACAATTCATTCTTATCATATCTATGTCATGAACTATATTCAGATGTGTATCTAGAGTTAAAGATTTGGTTTTACCCATATTTGTTAAAAAAGAGAAAGTAACAAATATAAAATGTCACTATGATTTAATCGTGTTCAACAGAACCAGGAGGAATTGGGGGAATGGGCTTAAGGGACATTCCCAATAAGAATTTTGTTCTGGCAGGCATGTTAATGTTACTTTATGAATCTTTTAATAAAAATATAAAACAAAAGAGAAAGATCTTGTTATTTAAAAGCAAAATAATGTGACTTTTAAAATAAGAAAATTGAGTAGTCACTTTGTTATTTGAGCACACCCCGCTTCATGAAGTTACATTATAGATAAATGAAAATCATATTCATCAAGCTAATATTTGTACTGTTGCAAACCTGCGATCTTTTAATGTGATCTTAAGACTCGAGACTAAAGAATCAGACATTCTGTGAAAATAATTGACATGAGTATTAATATATGATTTGGCAATGACTACATCTTGCTAAAACATTTAAAGCCGATAACAGCACTACTTTCAACCACTACACTATTTAAAGCATAGCAACTTGGAAGGAAAATACCATTTTACAATTTAAAACTATTTTACATGTACTTTAAATTTAATACATGCATTACACAAACATATTATGTAACACTTCATTAAAAGATAAAATAAAAAGAATGTAATCTGGATCATTTAAGTTTTGTAAAATTAAAATATAAAGGAAATGTTTTAGTAACCATATTTTTTATATTTAAAAAAAAACAACTCAAGAAAGGTAAAAAGTTATGAACTTCTATCAAAAGTAAAATAGATATGTAAAAGGAAATAAAACTAATAGTCCAATGGAAGAAATTATCCAAAATCATGATTAGAAACAGAGTAGAATGTTTTCTTTAACAAAAATAAAAAAAGGCGATTTTGAACAAAATAAAATATGAACTGAATCACTATAATCATGCTTGGTTCAAAAATATTGTGGATCAACTGATAACAGGATTGTACATAAAACTCAATAATAAAAGCAGTATGATAAAATAAAAGGCTAATAGTCTCCACATGCTTTGGTGATCACACCCATGGCATTAAGATGACCAACCTTCTTCCAGAATCAATATCATCAGCAATGATTGGAACATCAATGCTCTCTGGCCACCATGGTGGAATGCTTTCCCTAAGAATAATAGGGCTTGCAGGCCTTTCTTCCGGTACTGGCATTTTACGGACAATTGGAGCTTGTGGTTTCATTTTAAGTTGGGTTGTAACAGGTTGAGGTGAAGGTGGTGGTGGTGGTGATTTATATTCTTCTTTAGGTTTAGGTGGTGTTAACTCTGGTGGAGGAATTACAAACTCCACCTTTTTGGGTGCTGGTTTTGTTGCTGGAGGTGCAACTGGTCTGTATAACACATATTTGATTATAAATGTTATACAGAACATTAAGATAGAGAAGTTTTAAATACTATAATCTACACTTTGTAGATCAATTCAATTACAAATAGATATAAACACATGCCTAATAAGGCTCTAACTGTTTAAAGAACGACAATAAGATTATGCCTTCCAAGCTATAGAGATACATTTGTATCCAAGAAATAGAAATTATATTTATCTTATATACAAATATCATGCCAACATTTACAATCATGCATTATAATCGTATGGCATATTAACCTGTAATCTTTTGGTTGAAGAGGAATTGTCATAGTGACTGGAGCCAGAGGCTTTGGAGGAATTTCCATTTCAACTTCAGACCTAGATGTAACAACAGTAAGACATAAAGAAACAAGTCCCTACTAAAAGATTGAGAAAGAACATTCAGTATGCTGTTGTGTTATCAAATCACTCAAAGAATTGATGAAAACATGCTCGTCATTTGTGAAAAAGTTCTGTCAAATATGTTCCATAATTTAATTTCATTTCTAATTACTTATTCCAGTTGAAACACTTTCAAATGTCTTCATATTGAGAAATGTCCACACTAATGACATGCAGAATGTGGCATGCATGTACCTTTGCATATCTGGTTGAGGTTGAACAAGACGAAGATAACCACTTTCAGTATCTGAACAATAGCAAATTTGTTGAACAGGTCCCTCTGGTTGGATTTCATAATCACTACTGTAACTGATGATTAATACAAAAATTAATCTTTAATAATCTGTCATGCAATATAGTTGTATATGATCAAAACATACATAAATCCTAACAGTCTTTTCTCAATACAGATGAATTCTAGAATAACAATAACTGACAATCAAAGATAAGATATAATATTTTGGAAGAATGTCTTTTATGTGAAGAGCTTGCATCTAGTATAACCAAATACAGAACTAGTATCCTTTCAGTGTATGCAGATGTACACACCTCATTGGTTCAGGCATTGGTGCAGCTGTTGGCTTTGGGGCTGGTACTGGTGCTTTGACCTTTTTGACCACCTTATGCTTCTGTACTGGTGTTGCTGGAGCTGGTACAAGTGGTTGTGGTGGTGCTGGTGCCTTTTGTACTGGCCTGTCAATCACAACATGTTTTCTTTAAAAAGACATGTAACTTGTATAATATTTTCATTATTGAATTGCAGAAAATTACTACTACATATATATAGGCACTAAAACAAATTCAATACTGAAATTGGCAAGCTATAAAGTGTATTTTCACCTCTGTTGTGGTGCAATGGGTGGTTCAGGTTGAATCTCCCACGGCATGGGTTGTCTAAAAATTCAAAAACAACAAAATCAAAATCATGGATATATTTGACATGATATACGAAAGTATCCATTTTCTACTAAACACATGTATTTAAAAAAAAAAAACATTTTAAGATAATTAAATTTGTATCTTACTACCTTCATTTTTTTTCAAAATTTAACATAATTTTTGTATATGTAATTTACATTAAACATATCTTCATGCTGATGGAAGTTAAATCACACTAGTGTTAGTTCTATTTTAAATTATATCCTGAAAATAAAGATGAAACTGAAGATGTTATGAAAAGTGGGGATGAACAAAAGTACACTCGGAATGACAGATAAAAAATTAAATACATAATTTTGTTAGATTTATTTATTTCACACTGAAAAAGAAACTGTACAATAATAATAAACTTTTGTTAAGAAAACAGCAAGGAAAAAAAAGATTACATGACAGTAACAGAAGGGTATATCAACATAAAAAAGAATATCTTTTTAAGTTACAGAATAAACAAAATAAAGTGAAGTCCAGGTAGATGGGAATTAAATGATACTCTTTGAAAATAAACTCTGGTTAAGTCAAAAAAATTAAAATCATGCATAGTTTATGACAATATTTTGTTATGAAAGTTGTCAACAAAAGTATTTGGTGCAAGAAAATTCAAAATCTGTGAAATCTTTAGCGCTTATGAAGAAAAGCGCATGCATCGCGCTTCTGTTAACACACTCTGAACAAACCTCGCTAAATCTACTTCATCAATCAAGCGCAGATAACCACTTTCTTTATCAGATGCATATGTTATTTCCTGAACCGGTCCGATCTTCTGAATATCATAGCTAAACAAATAGAAATTGGATTTGATGTTCAATGATCACAAACATTAACACAGCTGACATTGGACAAAGTTAATCAAACACAAAGGCTGGATTCAGACAATCACTAATCAATTCAATTCAAAGAATTCAAGATAGATAACTGGGATATAAGAACTTAAGAAGTAGTCACCTTTCAGTTGGTTCAACATATCTCATTGTTGGTGACTTTGGTACTATTGGCTGCTGATACACAGGTTGAACCTTTCTTGGGGATAGTTCAAGAGAAATCTGCTGCTGAAATGGTTTAGCTTCAGGCTTAGGCACCGGAATTTGTACCTGGTGTTTAGATAACGGTACTAGGTTTTCCTTAGGCTTTATGGGTTCTACAACCCAAGGTGGTTGTACTATATCTATTTTCTTCTGGGGTTTTATTGCTGGTGTTAGTACTGGTTTTACAACAGGTTTCAAAGGCTTCGGTGCTTCCTTGGCTTCCAATAACCAAGGGGGAGCTACCATGACCGGTTGCTGTGGTGCTGGAATATGAGCAGGTTCATCTTTAACAAATTTAATCTTTAACTGTTCAGGCATTACTGGTTTTGGTGCATGACCTGGTTGTGGTGCAGATTTTGGTACAAGTGGTGCCTTTACCTTTGGACTTTCAGGAATAAACTGAGATTTTAATTTTCTCTGCACAATTTTGGATGCCTTTTTTTGTGCTTCATCTTCAAAGTCTGACAAATTAATTTTCTCAAAGATTTTTCTTCGTTGTGAAACATCAGGTTTGGATTCATCTTCAGATATATCAATGTCCAGCTGAAAGGTAACTTGTTTCATGGGTGGAAGTGTAAGAATCTCTGACCTATGAACAGGTGACAGAAGATTGTCTATGTCTTCCTGTAAAGGTGGCGTTAGAACCAGTCTTAAATATCCATGTTCTGTATCACTGGCATATCCAATTTGCTGCACTGGACCTTCTCGGCATATCTGATATCTGAATGGATATATTTTTAATGAACAATGCTTATAAGTCATGAGTTTAAAAAAAAAATTGTAAACATAAAAAAAAGTTATAGTCCAACAGAATTATTCATATTTTACAGATTATATAAGGTAGAAAGCAACATTATTACCATAAAAGATTATGACATCACCTAATAGGACCAAAAAAATAATTTCCAGGAAAATTATAAAGAAAATCAATGTATATATTAATCACCTAGGATGGACATCCAATGCCAGTGCTGATACAGTTGTAGGTGATTGAAGTTCTGGTGAAGATGGTACATTGACCCATTTTTCACTTTTCTTGGTTTTTACAGGCCGAAGTAAAGGTGCTTTCCTTTTGCTCAGATCGACAACTACTGTTGTTTGCATTTTTTCTGGCTGTGGAATACCTGAAAATTCTTTTGCTTCCAATTCTGTTGTTTTTTCAAACAACTGATGTTGCTTTTCTGCCCAAGTTTCATCATCCATGAATCTGGCTGGGTGTGAAGAGGGCTTTGCTTTTGCAGCCTTTGTTTTACGTGGTTTCATTTCTTTAAGTGGAATTGTTTTCTGCAGATGTTTTCTTGCAAATGAGATCATGGTATCTTCTGGTTTGGGTTCCTTATGTTGATGAACTGATTTCATTACTTGTGAACTTTTTCTGTACAAGCAATTATGATTAAACATATTAATGATAATTTTGTAATGAATAAGACTTTTATGAAGCTTAGTTAATGAAATTAAATTTTTACATTTTAAATATTTTTTAGAATTATCTCAATGTATTCCTCCATAAACAACCAAATGTATAATATAATAAACATCATTGGATTAATTGAATACAGAAAGAAAACTGGGGTGCACTGAAATGTGTGTTAGATGAAATCCATGCAAGAATCAAGGCATGTTTGAATCCCTGTATATGACAATGCATGTAAATATTTACTGACATCTTTAACAAGTTTGGTGGGTTTTTTCCTGCAGAGGTATCTTATATGCAAATATGTCAGAGCTTGTAAACACTTTGTTTTCTTTTACTGTGATTTTGATGTCATGTACCATTAATGCTGTTTAGTAAAATGATAATCCAAATCATTTAAGAAGTAGGCATATTCACAAAATGGTAGTGAAACTTTTTTCCAAAATACTGAACAAAAATTAATTAGCTTCTACAAAATATTAACCAAAACAGCATAGAAAACCCTTGCGTACAATCATATAATTATTATTTTCACTTGATGAAAACATAGTTCTACAGCACACAAGAAGTCTTGTATTCCAATAATGTAAACATTGTAATGTATGATAAAGCAGATCTCCATGCATTTTTTCTAGTAAGGCCAAGCACAGCCATGCTTGTCTGTTTGTGTTAATCAGTTCAGACAAACCTCTTAGAGCCATCATCTATGATCTTTAGATAACCACTTTCTGTATCGGAAGCATAAGATATTTGTTGTACTGGGCCTTCCTCTCGAATATCATAACTAAAGAATTAAACAATTCTCAATGTAATAACCAAATAAATAAAACTACTTAACACAATAACATATTCATTTAACTCAAAACAGAATTCTGCAATTTCAAGGAAGAACTGCACACAGAGTTAATTGATTTAATGAGAGCAAAAATAATCACCCTGGTCCAAAAATATCTTTAGCATAAACTGGTTTTCTGTCCCATGGCCGTGTCTTTGTTTGTTTTTCTTGATGTGGTGCTGGTGATTCCTTCTGTTGAGGTAATATTTGTGAATGCTGGAGTTGTGCTGCAGCTGCTGGTTTCATCACTTGAGCACTTGGTTGTGTCTGTTTTCTAGCAACCTGGGGTGAAACTGGTGCACTCACTGATTGAAACTTTTTTCTAGGTATCATTGGAGAAGATGGTAGACTACCCAGAGCTTTTGGTACTTGTTCTGCTACTTGCTCAAACCTCTTTTGAAAATCTTGTACACTTGGGAATGCTATTACTTCTTCATACTGGATTTCATCAACATCCATGCGAACATCAGCACCTATTTGTTGCACTTGTCGAGGAATTCTACTACTGGGTAATATTTCTTCTTTGATAGGTTTTCTACTACAGAGAATACTTGGTTTTATGTCATTTATCACAATGGTTGTTTCATTTATTGTTTAATAAATTAAGTTTTCAGCTAAAATTTTAAGATCTTTTTTTGAAATGTTTGTTAAATATTTGAATTAAATCATTATTCATATTGTTATCTTTACCAAGTTGTCTTTTACAGTTTTTGTTTTTCATAAATTATTTGAAGTTATTTGGTTCATGCCATATGATAAATGTAAGTTGATGAGGGTTGAATTATCATTCACATATTGTGAAATGTTGTGGTAGATGTATAACATAACTGGCTTACAGTTTATTAGAGATGTGTTAAACAGTGCATTTTAATATATTGAAAGATGCAATGAATGTATATGTTGAATGCCAATACATCTATAAGTCTTTATTAATTGATGACTCCTTTCTTAGTCTGTCCCAAGAATTCCATTAATCTTGTACTGTACGTGATTTGATTCATGAATATCAGTGTTTAAGAAAAAGATGAATTTGAACAACAGCGATCATTAATGAATTCACTGCAATACAAAGAACGAACTTTGTTCATCTAATTGCCAAAGCAAATTCAATAATAGCAACAATTCAAAATTATCAACAAAACTATGAAATGAGAAGCATTACAGCTCAAATCATACAAAGAGTTCGCAAAATAATAATTGTTATTTTACCAAGCAGAAAGAAGCAGAAAAACAAATTGAGATGAGCGTTCTAGAATTCACCCAAAATTTATCTTCATGATATGTGAAGCTGAAGCTGTTTTTAGAATTAAAATCAGTCACCATGCATAACATTATTATGTAATATAGCATATATAGCCATGCCTGTCTGTGTTAATCAATTCAGACAAACCTCTTAGAGCCATCATCTATGATTCTTAGATAACCACTTTCTGTATCAGAAGCATAAGATATTTGTTGTACTGGACCCTCCTCTTGAATATCGTAACTATATAATTAAACAATTCTTAATATCAAAATGTAAGAATAAAATACTGGGTACCACAGGTTATATAAACCATATCATCATTGATTTAATACTTGAAATCTTTTTTTTAAATATACTATAATTTTTCTTAGGATTGTAGAGAATGACAATTAGCAGATCATAATATCTGTTGTCAAGTCTGAAAGTTACAAGTTAGTAAAAGTAATCACCCTGATCCAGGCATATCTCTGACAAAAACTGGTTGTCTATCAGATGGTCTGGTCTTTGGTTGTTTAGGTTGAGGTGCTGTTGGTGGTTGCTCTTGTTGAGGTAATATTTGTGGATGTTGTGGTTGTGGTGCAATTTTGGGTTTGAATATTTCTTCTGGTCTTTGTTGTTGCTTTAAAGATTCCATTTCAGGAACAGATGGTTTCATCTGTTTTCTAGCCACTTGTGGTGATACTGGTGCACTCACTGGTTGAAAATGTTTTCTAGGTGGCATTGGAGACGATGGCAGACTAGCTGGAGCTTTTGGTACTTGTTCATCAAATCTTTCAAACTGCTTCTGAACATCCTGTATACTTGGAAAAGCTATAATTTCTTCTTTGGGCTCATCAACACCAACTGAAACATCATCAGCTTGAGGCTGTTTCGGATGTTGAAATCTACTCGGTATCATTTCTTCTTTCATAGGTTTTCTAGTATAAATAATACATATTTTTCATAAAATAATGCAGATATGCATAGTTTTTTGGTGTTATAATACTGAATCTATTTAAAGTATTTTTTCAGATTATAAATCGGTAAATAGGCCAATGCTAGTCCATGCATATCAATAAACTAACTGTTTTTAGGAAACTTAAGAAATAAATAATGGTAGGCGTTTACAAAAATTGAATAAAACATCATTCTCAAACTGAAAAAACACCATTCTTAAACTAAAAAACATCATTCTCAAACTGAAAATAATCTTAACTTAAAAAAAATTAAAACATAAGTAAAACTAAAATAAAGAAGGGCCTAACATAGAACTTCCTAAAAAAGCTGAAACCAGTTAGTGTGGAAGAAGAAAAAAGATAGTTTAACTGTATAGTTTAAAACTGTGGAATCCAGGAAACATTAAAGAAATAAAACTCAGAAAGAAATCTCTTTGTTTTATTTTCAAAGAAGCATATAAGCAAGGAAATCTTGGTACATGCTGATCTGATTAGTTAGCGTAAGTAGGCCATGCCTGTCTGTTATCATGGAGTTAGTGATCTCAGACAAACCTCTTTGAACTGTCATCAATAATTCTCAGATATCCACTCTCTGTGTCAGAGGCATAAGATATTTGCTGCACTGGACCTTGTTCTTGGATATCATAGCTAAAGGATTAAAGAATTATGGTCATTATTAGGAGCCAGTAGCAAATGGCATGAAATATATCTGTTATAGTCTAGAGTACTTTTAGATTAAAGAGAATCCATACTATACAACAAAATATTAAAATACAGTACAGCTAAATGATGTATATTTGTAGGATTAAAAGGATAAAATTAATCACCCTTGTCCAGGCATATCTCTAACAAAAACTGGTTGTCTTTCAGATGGTCTAGTCTTTGGTTGTTTAGGCTGAGGAGTTGTGAATGGTTGTTCTTGCTGAGGTAATATTTGTGGATGTTGAGGTTGTAGAGCAACTTTGGGTTTGAACATTTCTTCTGGTCTTTGTTGTTGCTTTAAAGGTTCCATTTCAGGAGCAGTTGGTTTCATCTGTTTTCTAGCCACTTGTGGAGAAACCGGTGCACTCACTGGCTGAAACGTTTTTCTAGGTGGCATAGGAGAAGATGGAACGCTACCAGGAGCTTGAGGAACTTGTCCATCAGGTTGTTCAAATCTTTTCTTGGCATCTTGCACATTCTGAGGCATATATTCCTCATCAACTTCCATTGGCTCCTGTGGCACTGGAGGTGCAGGTTGCATTGGTCTGGTTGCTTTCTGTGGTGTCATTTGTTCAGTAACTGGTGTTCTATTCAGAAATGATTTTAATATTTAATATACAATATGATTGTTCTGTAATATCACAACAGCATTAGGTGTAGGGAAAATGTAGTGAAAGCAAATGGCTATGATTCGCTATGATTTGATGTTGTTGCACGTATATAATGTTAAGGACATTGAACTACATTACTATATGAAAGGAAGCAAATTCAAATATAGAACAAACCTTCTATCATCGAAAGAATCATCTGTGGTAGGAAACAGGGAACTCATAAAGGAATGATCATGATCAATAGGTGTTGAGGTCAAAGGTAGAAGTTCATAACTGATAGAATTAACACAATAGTTATTAAAAGAGTTTTTTGAATTGTTAAAACAATAAATACACACACAAACATAATAAGTTACATTATTTATTGCTCATGTACTTTTACTTTCTCATATGTTCATCACTTTTGTATTTTGATTACATTGCCCTATCAAATCACAAACTTTGTTCCAATATTCATGTAATCTCAGTATATTTATTACTAAATATTAATCTTTTCATCTACTGACCCTAACATTAAAAATGTATTATGTATTTTTCCGTAGAACTAAAATCCTTCTCAATTTTTTTTTTAAATTATAAAACTGATTAAAGTCTACTCATTAATAAAATCTATCTTGCACTGTTAAAATTTCATGGACTACCAATATAATTTTTAATATATAACATACTGCATATTGATTGAAGATTCCTTATTTAAACTATAGAAAACTAAAAAATAAAATAATATTTTCTAGAAAAAGAGCAATCCACACTAATAAAAAGTTCATACCTATACATATGATTTCATACTTTTAATTTAATCATTCACTTTTCATATTTGTCCAAATACACTAGAGTTTTTATACCATTCAAAATAAAGAAAGAATAGAGATCTATCCTATATTCTACTAGCTGAACATTCTGTTAGATCCTAAAATATCTAATTGTCTTGAGATGTTCATTAATTAAAAATGAATAAGACTGTTAAGACGTAAACGAGGAAGTTAGGAAATAAAGGAGATAGATGGACAATATGCAAATATATGATAATACATAATGAAGCAATTCACTGATCAAGGTCTGATCGCAAGATTCCTTTTACTAAACCAACCTGGAGTCATATGGAGGAGACTTTATACGTAAAGTCCCACTCTCAGTTTCTGAAGCATAGCTAATCTGCTGAACTGGTCCTTTAGGTTGAATGTTGTAATGACTGAATTGAAAATGAATTGATGATTCATGAAATATATGATTAAAGGGAAACTAGATAAACATACTCTTGACAAGAAGCACCATAAATTATGATTTCACACAGATTTTATACCACCTTGATTGAATGAATAGGTCTGTAGTCTAAAACAATATTCACACAATGAATTCTCCTATCACACATTTTCAAACAGTCACACATTTATACAATACACAAATGATTTATTCACTAACTCAAATGTTTATTTATATGGATAAAGAATTATATAATTATTTAGATGATACTATAATAAGGAATAAAAAAAACTGGCTTATTCATGTCTTCTTCTCAATCTAATTGAAATCATGCAATTGCATGCTAAGGAACTGTTGTTCTAACCTGCCAGCATCCTCCTCACGTACAAGTTTTAAAGTGGCACTATCACCATCTTTAACATAAGATATTTGTTGTACCGGTCCCTCAGATTTGATTTCATAATGCCTGATATAAATAATATTAATAACGTAAAGCTATAATAAACACCACCACCATACATATTAAATATATAAGATATGTATACAATCAGCAACTTGTTCACCATCTAAAAGAACCATGGAAAATCAAAATTGGAATACTATACATCAGATAAAGTATTGTTTGATACTTATATTTTATTAAAGTTTTTAATCCTGCAAGAAAATTTCAAGTTATTTAATGAAATAAAAGTTACTTACGGTGAGGTGACTCTTGGAGGTGGTACACTTGACACTTGAGGAGCTTGTTTCTTGGCTTCAGGCTTTCTTGCAGAAACTAAAAAAAAGTCAATAAAAACAGTAAATGGTTAATTGGGCCATAGTGACTTTTTAGTTATTGTTAATCCAGTTTTTGTCATAACATGTAAATAAATTTTAAAATATTATTTCATAAAGTGAGTTCATATTGTATCAATATTAATGTTTTGAATAATTATAATATAGTGTTGGATATGGGCTGTCTTACCTTGTACAACAAGTTTAGCTCTAGTTGTAGCACTACCTGATGTATTAGCAGCTGTACATTGATACCAGGCAGCATCTGGTAATGTAGCTTCTGGTATATATAGAGCTGTTCTACCACCCTCTGTATCAATCCTAATAACGAAACAAATTGAAATTAGTCAATCAAAATAGCATTTTATTCAAATAAAGTCATGGCAGTAATTGACATCCAATTAATTTGTAAGTTCATAAAGGAAATCTACATCTATTCTGCATGGAAACATATTTATCTTATATAATATTCTGACATTAGTATATTACATTACTGCTTCCTTTTACAGACTGCGAAAGTTTTCTAATGATGACCAGTTTTCGTAGCTATTTAAACCCCTAAGTCAGCATCAATTTCAGTTAAAATGAATGTTGCTTGACAAAAAAATATATTTTATATAGAACCAGGTTAAACATTTTCAACCAATCAAATGATTCATAAAAGTAAGCTATACCTGTATTCCTGATTGGGTGTAACATGGCTACCATCCTTTTGCCAAGACATCATGGGTGTTGGCATGCCAACAGCATGACAGGAAAGCGTAACAGGCATGCCTTCTTTCACAGTGAAGTTCTGGACACGTTCAATAAAACGGGGACTTTGTTTCTCTTCTTTGGCTGCAGTTTGAAAAATTGCATTTATTTATTCTGGTATAGAGAGTTTTATATTGAATTTGGTTTTATTGATTTATTTCTTGTTATTAATATGGAATTATCAATATTTGTTTATGCTTTTTAAAAAATACTTACGTTTGACATTAAGAGATACAGTAAATCTTTCTTCCCCGGCTTTATTTATAGCAATACACATATAGGTACCAGCGTCCAAACGGCATACACTCTTTATGATTAATGAATGGATACCATTCTCATTGACAACAATCTATCAAAAAAATTACACATAAATATATGTCCAACTCTATAATTAGATAAAAGTCTTACCCATCAATCATTATTGTGATATTCAAAATCTAACCATTTTCTGTTAACAAAATTTAAAACCATCTGATAATAAACTTTGTACCACCCAAAGAGTAAAATTTCATATACCTTGTGATTATCATCTCTATGTACCAAAATACCATCACGGTACCAGTCTAATTCGGGTGCTGGTCGACCTGTTACAGTACAGTCAAATCTGACAGTAGATCCTTCTATAGATGTTATATCTTCAGGAATTTTCTTGAAGACTGGACTAGCAGGAGCATCAAATACTCCGCCATCATCTGCTACTGGGCCTTTTCTTCCTCTTTCAGCATCCCTAGAAATAATATGAGAAATTTTAACTTTTTAACACAATATCATCATTTATTTGAAAATTAAACGCAGCAAAGGGTTGCTTAGCATCCTAGTGCCTCTACATCAATTGCCAATTGGGCTGGATTGTTGAAATTGAAAAATTCAAAATAAATCTAATATTATACTGTATCTTTTTTGTCTTATTTTAAATTTCCTTAAAGAGTTTATCAGTTTGTGTATAGTCATACAACAAAATGGACCATAAAGTTCTTTGATCAATCTACGAAGTAAACATTCTATCCAAGAATTTACATGTTTACTATAATGATGTGATTATGTTTTTGAACTTTGAACTGCCCAAATTGGGTAGGAATTAGTTCATTTATATAGTTCCAAATTCAACCTGGCACTGTGCCCATCCAAACCAAACTTGAGTAGTAGTATGAATATATATGTATCATATTCATATTAATGTTACTGATTTCTTTATTACCTTCTCATCATTTTCTTTAAACTTTCAGGTTCTACAAAAGAGGTAGCATCAATGTTTCCAAGTTGATCAACATAGAGTTGAGCTGAGGTTGTAGTTTTACCCACTGAGTTGACAGCTAATACTGTATAATACCCTGTATCTTCTGGTAAGGTTACTCTTATTCTTAAAGAACTTATATTATCTTGTCCATATTTAATTTCATATCTGTTAGACTTCTTGATACGTTTACCATTTCTGTACCAAGCAATCTGAAATAACCATAAACATTAAATTTACAAATCAAGATTTTGAACAAATTTTCCTTTTAATTACTTATGTTAACTAAGATATACATCCAATATTAGACCGATTAACTTAAATTCCATAACCCAAATATCTTTTCGCACAACGTAACCTGATGTTTAGGGGATCAAATTAATTAATTGCTTACCTTTGGTCTAGGTTTTCCCTCAATCTGGCAGACAAAGGTAGCATCACCTCCCTCTACTAACTGTATATCCTTCAATGGTTGTAATAGTTCTGGTGCCTGAGATTTACCAGGACTTACAAATTCTTCTGGTTGTTCAGAATCATATTCTGTTTCGGTTTCACTTTGACGTTTGATTTTACCATCTCGATAGGCAACCTCATCCAGGAGACGTTTCTCAAATCCAGTTACAGTGAATTCCTAAAATGAATTAAATTTAAATGAAGAAATGAAAATACTTACAGCACTCGCAGGTTTTTAAATGAGGCTTTGCTTTTAGTCAGTCATCAAAAACAATTTTACTCAGGTTTTCGCACAACAGGTATTGCATTAGTATTGGTATGTAGTGCATATTATAATTATATTGATGCCCGATTGGGCATATTCCCGGTCGGATGTTTGCCAACTTGGGTAGGACATGTCCGGCATACACAGGCAAAACAGCATCCAAGGTATGTACGATGATGTCGATAAATACTTACAGAATCACTAGCACCAGCGGAAAGTGGTTCATCTGGCTGAGCCAATATTCTTTCTTCAGATTTTCTGTCGATCATGCGTTCTGTTGGGGTTCGATAAAAATCTTTTTCTGATTTCTTTGGTGCTTGTGATCTGGCAAGAATTTCTTGAACTGGTGATAAATCTGAGACAAGTGGCTGATCTACCACCTTGCGGACTATAAAACAAATTAAAACATTACACCTTAATAAACTGTATCAAACCATAGTCAGATTTAGCTTAGCTAAGATTTATACTGACAGCAAGATATATATATGTAGGTAAACTACTATGAATCCAAAATAAATCTGCTGCTAACTATGGCTACTAGATCCAAATACGTACTATTTTTAAACAATCACATTACAAATGATTCTACTATGAACTTTATTCTCAACAGTAGAATACTCACCTTCTGGTAAAACATCAGCACTTGTAGCTGATTCTCCACCTGGATTCATAGCCTGGCAAGTATATTGTCCAACATCATCAGAGAAACATTTAGATATCAAGATGGCACATCTTCCTGTTCTAGGGTCATTGTTGATTTTATGCCTGAAATGATTGAGATAAAACAACAGTGTAAGAACAGGAAAGAAATGGAATGGAATCATGTCACATCTTGTCAAAAATGGTTATTGCTACAGGTGCAAAATCCCACACAAGTACAAGAAAATATTTACCTAGGTCCTTCAAATATAGGTTGTCCATCTTTGGTCCAAGTAATCTGAGGAAATGGTTTTCCAATAACTCGGCATTCCATCTTAAAATTTGTACCTACAACCATTCTAACATCTTTTAATGGTTGAACAAAAGATGGCGGTACAGTGACTGGTGCTGGTTTGGGTGGTGGAGGAACAAATGCTGGTTTTTCTTGTTGTACTGGCTGGCTTTCTGCAACTGGTTCCATTGGTTCAGCTGAAGGAAAACAAACAAAAGAATAAAATAAAGATTCATGACAATGCATGGAGAGGTGTATCATCTCAAAAAATGAATAGCAAATTAAGTTTATTCAACCCAACATTAACTCTATTGTCTAACTGTAAATGGAACGGTAAATGAAAGGAGATCAGGTGAATTATAATCGTGTATATTCTAATTTGCCTTGTATATAGTTGAAATTCGAGCGTAGATATACTACAATCTTGAAAAGAAAAATTTCTTAATCTTACCTTCAACAACTAAGAAACATTCGGTTGTAACTGTTCCAGTTGCATTTGTAGCAACACATTTAAATGTGCCTGCATCTTCTGGGAAAACTTCTATAATAGTCAATCTGTGAGTATTCTGTGAATACGATATTTCATAATCTGGTGAACTTTCAACTGGAAGGTTGTTCCTAAACCATCTAATAATAGGTTCTGGATGACCCTCAACAATTATCTCAAATGTTACTGAATCGCCTTCTCTTACTCTTTGATGTGTCAATGGCTGTAACAGAACAGTTGAAAACGTATAAAATTTAATACTACAAATGTGACATAATCTAGAATCTATTAAAGGATAGAAAATAAGGTGTCTCAGTGAGAGAACATTCCCTCATAGGAAACTGCGTGGTATATGTTTGTCTTAACCCAAAGTTAAACCCCATTTCTATGAAAGTGTAGAATTATCTTTTTGTATCTGAAAGACACTAACCTCAATCATATCTTGAATTCAAAAGTAGCACTCAAGTAATTTAATATAAAATAGTATTGGAATACATTTTATCAACAAAATACCTTTGAGAATTTGGGTTTAGTTTTCTCCTTTACAGGAGCAGCTTTCTTTGGTGGTTGAGTCTTTGGTAATGGTGGAGGAACATCTTCCTGTCCAAAAAGGTTGATTCTTGTTTCAAAAGCAGGTAAATCCTGTCCTTCAATTTCCATCTCCATTTCATTTCTGTATCTCTGAGGCTCTGTCTTTGGCGGAGCAGCTTTCTGGTATTTAGCTACTTTAGCCATAGGTTCTTCCTCTGGAAAACGTCGAGGTGATTTTGAGCCAGGTGCTTTGGATGGTTCTACATGCTCAAAAACTGGTCTACGTTCTGGTTCCCTCATCACTGGTGTTTCAATAGCCAATGGTGGTGCTGTGGAAGATTAATATAATCCATTTTATTTTTGGAAGGTTTTCCTGTAGCCATTTCACTAAGCAAGTTAATATTGAGTTGATATATATTTCTATCTATTCATTTATTCATTCAAGCAATATTTGATTAATTTCTTTGATTTAGTAATTGATCGAACATATCAACACAAGGTACAATCTTGTGGATACACAAATACCTGATACTCTCGTCTTCATCAAGAAAATGAGTTAATAAAGGTATAATACAAATATATTTTTCAAGATTTACATAAACTAAGAAAAGATATACTTACGTTCTACCACTAACTGAGCAATGCACTGAGCCTCTCCAGCAGGATTTTCAGCTTTAACTGTGTATTTTCCTGAATCTTCATAGAAAACTTCTGGGATGTACAGAGAATGGATATCTCCTTCTTGGATGATTTCAAAGTCTGGTGAACTGACCAGTCTTGATCCTTCTCTCATCCATGTAACTTGTGGTGGAGGATGACCAGATACTTTAACTTTGAGTTTAACTGGCTGACCTTCTTTAGCTTCATGTCTTTGAAGCTTTTCGGTGAATGAAGGTGGAATCATGGAGGCTGCAAAAGAATAACCCAACAGAAAATGAAAATTTATTATTTGCTATGTTTGAAAAGTCTTAGGTTTCCTGTTCAAGTATGTAGTACATCTAAAAATATGAGAAATCCATCCAAAACTTTTAGATTATATCAATATACTTTGAAGAATAGAAGAGTAATTTGTATTAATATTGAAACTACTTGAAAGCAAAATATATGTGTTTTCCACTTAATGAATATGATAATAACTGTAAACTATAAAATTACCTCTCACTATCAGTTCTGCTGTGCTAGAAGCGGTTCCAGCCAAATTTTCAGCTGTAGCAGTAAACTGCCCAGCATCTTCTTCAAAGACTTCGGGAATAGTTAGAGTTACACGCCCCTGACGGTAAGAGATTTCAAAGTCAGCTTGATCTGTCAATTCTTTACCTTCTCTAAACCATCGAATGCTGGGTTCAGGTCGTCCTTTAAGAAAAAAAATCACTCCGTCAATCTAACATATTCTACAGATTAATAAACAAAAATAAAAAATAAATGAAATAATTCAGTCCCTTGAAAGGACTTTCTAGATAACAGATATAGTGTTTATCCAACAGGTATTACACAAACAACATATTTAAACAACTCGCCCCTACACTGTCAGGTTTTCAGTAAATCTTCAGTTCAAGATTTTAATGAAGATATTAGAAGATCTATTTATATATTTACCTGTTACTACACCATCAAAAGTTACTCTGGTTCCTTCCATTGATGTGATGTTTTTCAAAGCCTGTAGAAACTTGGGTGGAACTGGCACTTCAATAGTTAAATCTATTGGTTGATACTGTGGTGTAACATCTGTTACTAGAGTTGTTGCAAATCTGTCAACTGATGGTGATTTTTGCGGTCTCTTTGGACTGACATCGGTCAAAATCGTTGTTGAGTGATGTTGTTCACCAAACATCTCATCAGAAGATGAGTAGACTCGACTTGTTCTTGTTTCAGTAACAGTTCGAGTCTCAGTTCTATAAAAAATAAAATATGTAATATAATTGGTAATGAAAATTAATATACTTTTCATCATAGGATAGTTCGAAGAAAGCTGAAATAATCTAAAAGCAAATACATAAAATTAAATCTAACAATACTTACACTTCTGAGGATGATTCATATCCTCTGTAGCCTACAGGTACATCATCTTTATAAGGTGAGCTAACAGCTTGTGATGGTCTAATGACAACTGCTTGGGAAGTTGGTTCTTCTGGTTGGGGATATCCAGCAGGTGGCTGACCTCTGGTTGGTGCTCGGTCTGGCACCATCTGTTCATCAATTGGTTTACGGTCAGGCTTATCAGCAGGAAATTTTGGTGGGGCTACCTTCCTGATTGGTGCCTTTGTAGGTGTCATTTGTTCAGATACTGGTTTTGGTTTAGGTCCAAATGGCTGTTGTGCACCCGGTGCTCTTGAAGGAGTCATGGACTCTGTCACTGGTTCAACTTGTAGTAAAGCTGAGCATGTGGCTTTACCATGAGGATTTTCAGCATGGACATCATATCGTCCAGCATCCTGATCAAATACTTCTGGAATTGTTAATCGATAGTTATCTCCTTCAAACTGGGGTTGGTAGGCCTTACTGACCAAAGGTGCTCCATTATAATGCCATTTAACCTAAAAATAATAATAAACAATATAAATTTCATATTACAAATACTGTCACTTAGTTTTAAATTAATGCTTGAATGAGAAATTACACTGACAATTTAAAATTCAATTAACAATTAAGAAGTTATTCCACATACCCTTGGTCTAGGACTACCAATTATAACACACTCAAAAGTAACAGGTTGTCCAGCTTTGACAATCTGATCAGTGAAGAGTTTCTTAAACTCTGGTGGTGCTTGTTTAATTACTTCTTTCTGTATTTGTTTGACTTCCCGTTTCATGACCGGCTGTTCTGGTGGTGATTTAACATTTAATCTAGCTTGGCATCTGGCCTCACCAGCAACATTTACAGCTCGTACAGAATATACACCAGTATCTTCTTCAAAAGCTTCAGGTATAGTCAACGAGTGAACATCAGCAAATGCAGTTATCTAGAAAACAAAAAACAATGAAATAAATGGAAGAATATATAGTTATCACCATAAGAAAACACTGTTGATTGTCTGAACAAAATTAGTCAAATGACAAAGCCAAGACTGACGAAACGGAATAGCCCCCAAAAAATCTGTGTGACAGGTGTAACTGAGATATTTTTCTGTAGTAATTAAACTTCTTCAATAAAAGTATATCACATACCTGGAAATCAGGAGAGCTTTCCAATTGTCTGTCATCACGGAACCATTTAACTTCTGGTAATGGATGTCCTGTAACACGACATTGTAAACAAACCCTTTGTCCAGATTTAACTGTCAAATCTCTCAATAACTGAGTAAACTTGGGTGCTGTCAATTCACCCACTGAGGCATCACTCATTTCACTTACAGCTGTGGATCAAAATAAAACATTTATTACAGATGGGAACTCAATCATTTTCAGGAAATAAAAATATCTAAGTGGGGTTGACAAGAAAGCTCAATGTATGTATGTGTTATAAAAATTGAGGAAATAAAGCATTTTAATTTTTTTTTTTTTAAATGGTACTGATAAATAGTACATCGCCTCCTGAGTTAATATACTTACGTTCCACATGTAATTTACAGGCACTTTCTGCCAGACCGTAAGGATTTCTAGCGACGCATCGATATTCACCAGCATCTTCTAATAAAACCTCTTGTATAACAGTTGTACAACGATCACCTTCAAACAACAGCTGGATATCTTTACTTTCCTTTACTGGTTTATCATTGTGTAACCAAATCACCTGTAAAAAATGAATGACATATAAAAAAGGAGAAAGGATATGGAATATAAAATATACAATTGCATGCATGATATGACAAATTAATTATAGGAATTTAATCTCTGGGTTTCCATAATAAGAAGTGGATGGGCGCTGTCTCCAAAAGGTCTTGACATCATTCAGTGAGCATTAAACAGATTTGTGGATAAATCATTTGGCTGTCCTTAGAATCAAATTCCCATCACAACACCCTGTCCTTCATATCATAATAGACTTTATGATTCTATTCTGAACTGCTAAAATCAATAAGACATAAAAAGGCAAATTACACCTTATTGCACGGAAATTATGGTAAGTGTTGAATATTACCTCTGGTTCTGGATGTCCTATAATAATACAGTCCAATCTAACTCGTGTTCCCTCTATAGCTTCTTTAGTTGGTGGTAGAAGTTGCATAAACACAGGTTCTTGTTTCGGTACTTCCTTATCTGGTTCTGTTGAGGCAACCTCCATGTCTTCACTGAAAACAGAGTATGAAATGTTTATAATGGATGTAATTTGTGATTGTTACTTGGTGTTTCTGAAGTGTATATATGTTCATTCACTTTCTTTAACAATTCTGGATATAATTCTTTTCCTTTAATAAGACATAATCTTTTATCAAACTGACAAGTATTAAAATTACATTTTATCATTTCATATATGAGTTTATCTTTTCATTATCTTAAGATTCAAATAAAAATAACCATCTAAATTTAAATTTAGCTGCATGAATACTCAAGTGGCATGGTAAGATGTTCATAAGAAATATGTTCATCTAAAAAAACCTACCCAGTACTGGAGAAATAAGGCTCCATAGTAACAGTACAAGATGATCTATTTTCACCAGCTGCATTTTTGATAACAACAGTATATGTATCTTGATCTGCACTATAAAGTTCATGTATATCTAGAGCTGAGAAATTTACTTCAATAGTAATCTGAAAAATATCAAAGGCATATCGTGTTTTAATTTAGAAATAGGTGGGTTGAATATATAATTTCACATACATTACCTGGTGGTAATCAGGATTTCAAATATCATTTGATCTAGAAGTAAATGTATTGGGGACTCGAACAGTAGTTGCTCCATTTCATCAAAATTATTATCGTAAACCTTAGAGGGGCATTAGATGTTTGATTTATATCTTTATTTTCATTAAAATCTGGGTTCTAATGAATTTACAAACTGAAATAAACCAAACTGCTTTAAAGAAGAATGACGTTTTTTAATGTTCCCCTCTTCTTTTATTAATTTCTAAATTGATATTAATTTATCAGACAAATTACTATTTTCCAATCACTGCAACATTATTAATACTTATCATAACTAAACATTAGAATTGTGCCTGTTTATCAGATGTAAAGATATACAAAGATAGACAACGGGCAAAATTTGCAAATGTTTCAGACTGGATACTAGCCTCTATATATTGGAATTATGGGGGATATGTTTTAAGTATATCAACTTATTCACCTTGTATGTATTACTAGGAGTAATACGAGTAGGTCCTCTGTACCATTGGACTTCTGGTGGTGGTGAACCAGTAAATCTAGTCTCCAGACGCACCGGTTTACCTTCAGGTGCAGCTACATCTTGCAAGGGCTGGTGGAATACTGGAGGTTGAAGAGCTGTTAATAAACAAGGAATAATAATCTTATTATTATAAATTTATTGATTACCAAGTAAAGAAGAAAAACAAAAAAATATTTTTTAACAATCTCGAAAATCAATCCAAAACCCCCTTCCACATCCTGCTCAGCCACACAGAATACAGTAATAATAAGATATTCCAATTAAAGGGGTTTTAAATTGACAAGGAAATGCATTGCTGTATCTTTACATAGAAATTTTAAGAAAAAATATTGTGTGTACATGTATCACACATATGCTTGTAAATAATCACTAGTAATTAATACCATTTATCTGATGAAACAATAATACCACATTACTTGATAAGAACTCATATCTAAATTTGATCTGATAAAAATTAAAACTCATTCCATGCTATTGACAATGAGAAAAGGCATGTCACATTAATGTCTTTTAATTTAGCTTGATTCTAAAAAATGATCAATTAATACTGTAAATGATACTGAAGAGAATGCATTAGCACTGGAAATGAAATATTGCTACAGACTGGAAATGAAATATTGCTATCGACTGAAAATGAAATATTGCTACTGACGATGATGCATTACTACTGGGAATGATACATTGCTACTGAGGAGGATGCATTACTACTGGAAAATGATACAGATACAAAAAATAATGCATTAATACTGAAAATGATACATTGATACTGAAGATAATGCATTAATACTAGAAATGATAATTGCTACAAGCTACAGAAGTTGATGCATTAATAATGAAAAGGGTACATTGATACTGAAGATAATGCATTAATACTGTAAATGATACATTAATATTGAAGACGATGTCATATCATGCTATTTATGACATATTTGACATTCTGTTGTTGAAATGATGAACACAAGTCATGCCCATAGAATGTAGTGAGCTTACGTATGACTGTCATCCTAGCAGATGATGAAGCCTCTCCCCCAGGATTATTAGCCCGACAAGTATATCGAGAAGAATGGTGCTGTTTGACTTGTCGTATCTTTAAACAACAAGCTCCATTTATCTTAGTGATGACGAAGTCAGAAGAGTTGTCAATATTCAACTCGTCCTTATACCAGGAAACAGTGGGTGATGGGATACCTTGAACATGGCATTCAAAGGCGAATGAAGAGTTCTCAACAACATCAACAGATTTCAAATTACGTACAAATTCTGGTGGATAAATTTGTTGATGAGTTTCTGTAAAAAGTAAACATTTTAATGAAGTTGGGTTCATCATAAATTAAATTTCTGAAAATGTTAAAATTTGTTAAGATCAAGGTTAAAAACAAAAGTTTTCTTACCCTTGACATTAAGTTGAGCTGATGATTCGGCCATACCAGCAGGGTTTGTGACACGGCATGTATAGCGTGCTGTATCCTCTGAGAAGGTTTCTTCAATGGTAAGTGTAGCTACACCATTGGCAAACCTGGTCTCATAATCTGGGCTGGTCAATGGTAGGTTGTCCTTACACCACTGAATTTCTGGTTTCACATCACTTTCGATTTTACACTCAAAGGTAAATCTAAAATAAATTAAAATAGATTAGAGAACACTAAAAAAAATAACTTAAATATTCTTGTGCAATAAATAATTGGGCCCTTACTCATGACAATTTGAATCCCGTAAAAAGGAAGATATGATAAAAATAGGATTTTTTGTCTAATTGGTGGCACAGTAATATGTGGCAGAATTAAGCATGAAAAACTTACTTATCTCCCTCCATAACTTCAGCATTTTTAAGATGTTGTATAATACGGGGTGGTCTGATACTGGGAGTTGGAGCAGCAGCAGTTGGTGCTGCTTGTCTTGTTAGATTTTCATCTACTGGTTTCTGAAAAGAAAAACAAGGTAGAAGAATTTGTTAATAAGTAAAAATTTTATTCATATTTTCTCAACACTTATACCAAGGTCATTTGTTCACTAAATATGTCTCTTAAATCAATGGAAAACTTATTCCGTACCATAAATTGATTCAAAAGATAGAATTTTGTATGTTTCCGGACTTGAGGTTAACTAATTTAGTAACTCACTTAAAATTGATCACTTTCATGTGTCTTACCTTTCCCTGTAGATTATCTCGCATACCGCTGATTTCATTATCAGCTTGTTCAAATGATTGCATTAAGTCTTGATATTGTATAACTACATGTCGAACTTTACTTTGACCTTGATCACCTGAAACAAAATAAAGACAATAAGATTGAATAAACTGTTAGAAAATAGTTCAAATCGTTACATTGTTGACCTAAGTATTTGTCAAAACATCAGCAAATAATCTGTTGAAGATTCACTTTCAATATGTTTTCATAAGTGTATCAATACCATGCATCTGATATTAAGATCTTACTTCAACATGGTAGCCAATGCTATTAAAATAGAACAAAAAAGCTTCATTGACATACCATAAAGTTGAACACTTAATTCAGCTATTTTTTGTAATCTCTCTTCTTGTTTGGGTTTTCCTTCTCTTACATAATTTTCTAATTTTTTTATGAGGTCATCAGCTTCCTGTGGTGTTCGACAATTTGGAGCTTGACGTCCAACATTAATCAAGAGCTGATTACCTTCTCTCATCCATGTTTCAGACTGAAATATAAAATAGTAACTCAATGACGGTAATCTTTCCAACTTTGGGCCTGGCAGACAGGAGTAGTTACTAGTCTTTTATAAGAGGCCTGGATATAATGATATGTTTTTGAACTATTTGCTGTGTAATATATCAGAATAAAATAGTCAAATTACTTATTTTTGCATTTGTAAAAAAAAAAGAAAAATGGCAAGGATTGTGACCGATATCCATATTTAAGGTGAGAGAGAAAGAGAGAAATGGGGTTTAATGTCCAGAGAAAAGCCACAAGGTTGGGCCCGCAACCCTACTCCTCGTTACATAGAAACTTGGGATCGAAACCATCCACCCAACCCCCTTAAAAAGGTGAAGAAAATCTTCCACCAATTGTCAGATCTAATGACAACAATATGAAATTTATATATAAAATCTTTTTAACTTACTTCTTCTGTTAATGTAAAATAATAGATTGAGGCATTAAGCTGCTGACGATAGTCACGCACGCTTGTATGGAATGTGCTCCATTTGTTTTTCAACACATCGATTTCTCGGCGGATATGGACGGAATCGTAATGTTTGTCCTGGACCATCAGCTCCGCCGTACTGATGAAACTGTTAATCTTTTGTTCAATTAACTGAAAAAAAAGATGTAGAAAATGTAATTAACAAACCCATTTCACAAACAATAACAATTAGGAGAAATAAATGGGTTGAATAGTCAATTTAATTTAGGCACAGAGGTCTTTAGCATAAGGAGCAAATCGCATAGCCTGGAGAATAGGCTAACCTATTCCTTGCCATGAACAAGCATGGGATTAAACCTAAAACCTTAGAGATGACAGACCGAATATCAGCACAGTTACCAACCACTTCCTGTACACATTAAATTTATACAGTGTCATATCACATTGATGACTATAATTTCCAAACACAAAAATTTCATATATGTTTTTGAAAGGTCAATAGATATTTTCATAACTTTAAATGTATAATATTTACCTCAACAGTTACTTCAAACTGTTCGTAGGCCTGAGAGGTCATTCTGGCGGATGGTAATGAGTTGCCATAACTACCTCGTCTAGCCTGTAAATGTTGGTGTAATCCATCTATCTCCGAATGAATCTAAAAAAGAGAGAGAAACCATTATCAAATGAAGAACCAAATGGGAATCAGGCTTTGAAAACTCTGGAAGGTTGTTCTCAGTGCATTCAGGGCAAAGAACCAAGACATTTTAGTTGAATTCAGTAGTGCTGGCCAAAGATTTTATGATATGTTACTCACCTGTCTGAGATCGAAGTTAAACTGACAGATTTGGAGATTTTGTTGGAGGCGCTTTTCTTGTTCCTCCCACATATAACCCCAGCGTTGTTTATATTCTTCTGATACGTCAATAACACGCTGTACATCATCTTGCGCTGTGGCTTCAGCATCCTATAAACAAAAAATATAATATTTTAATAGAAAATTAAATGTTTTAACATAAATTCTTTCTTTTCAGAAATAACTAAGATTGGAAATCAGAAATTATAACACAATTAGGATTTGAGTTATGCATAACAATTATTTTACTGCTGAAAACTCTGGCAACCCCTTATCTACAACCAATAAAGAAAACCTGTCAAAATTATCCCCGCCCCCATTCATCATAATATCTTAACCATGCTTTCCAACATCAAACAAAACAAAGCTTGCTCAAATGTGTTAATCAAGTTTGCACTAACCTGTTGCCGTACCCTGCGCACAATTTTATCACCTTCATCTGTGGTGAAATTTATCATCTGAGAAACTTCTTGTTTCTTGCGTTTATGTTCTTCCAGCATTATTTCTGCTTGCGTGAGTTCTGATGGTAATTCTGATTGCATGTATTCTCTCTCAGTGGCTTCAATAGCTTGATCGAGCTAAAAAAGTCATATAAAAACAGTTGTAAAAAGTGATATTTGTTATCCACACAAAATAAAACTTCAAATGTTTCTAATATTCTGCAGTAAATTTTTATAACTAGATGCATTGCATCTACATTTAATTCATTGACAAAGCAAAAATCTTTATAGCACTTGAAGAAAACTTTGAAGATTCTATCTGCTGCCAAAAGCATTTTCTAAACTTTTTTTTTTATTTTGGCAAAACATCTTTATAAGCAGAAATACAAAAGAAATATTGACATAAATCTACAAATTTTTATCAAAGTAATCAAAAGATAAAAAAAATATCTTACTTGATGTAGATTTTTAAAGAAAGCAATTGTCATCTTGAGCAATATTTGGTACTCGTTGATTCTAGATTGAAATCTTTGATGAACTTTGACCAGTTCATTAACAATTTGTTCTTTTTGACCATGAGTATCTCCTTTAAGTGACAACATTTCAGCTGTCTTTAAATGGTCCTCTATTTCTACTGTTGCTTTCTTAAAACAAATAGATTTATATCATCACATCTATACCCATGTAAGGGCTACAGTTATGTTGCTTTGTTTTTCATTTTAATATTCAACAAAATTGTTGACTACATAGATATCATTCTTAATAAATATTTGGTAATACTGTTTCGATTATTCTTCCCATTAATTAAAAGTATTTGTAAATCAGAGACATATCTCCATTGTAAAAAATTTAAATAATTTGTAGACAGCATTGATTAGTTTAATTTCTAAAGGGAACAAATTTAATATCAATCTAAATGTTCATATTAATTTCTATTATCTAAATTAATATTGGTAATTAACTTACCATATTAATTTTATTATATATGATCAAACATTATCTAAATGTGTCTATTGGGTGCTTTTGTGATAAAACAGTTTTTAATATTCATAAAGGAAGGTAAAATAATTGGATATTTATGAACTACAAACAGATTGCAGCCGAGTTGAATATAAGCGTAAGAAAATCTTGAATATGCAATTGCAACTTGCAAGTTTACAGGGTCTTATTGTGACAAAATATTCCTACAAAAAGTATAACAACCATTGATTATAAAGAGGGTAACATATATTGAAGGGAATTGCATACAGTGGAAACAAATTGGAATTTGGGTTTTTTACAAATTTCCGGATTCTATTTCTAATTAAAGAACAATGTTTGCCAGGCAGTCACTTTAGCAGAAATCACCAAAATGAAAAATCAAAGATTTAAGCCTTACTTCTAAACTCAGTTCCTAACATAAAGAAATCACACATTTTTCAATACCTTAGCAATGGGTGCAAAATGATCCAATTTTCGTTGTAGTTCATTAGCTCTTTCAAGAGAATTTCCAAGCTGTCCTGCGATATGTGGCATGAAAAATTCTCGCTCAGCTTTCATCACCCAATCAATGGTCTAAAATCAACCAATTAAATTTAAATAAGAATTAGCCTATCACCGACAAGGACACAACAGCTCAGGCCACATGCACACGCTCCAATCAAATTAATGATTAGTATTTGTTTTTAGGCTCTGTCTGATGGCACCAAACAAAAATATCACTTATTGAAATTAGTCATCAATTCAAACCTATAATAGTCTTTGCATTGAAGTGAACTATTATATACATCGAACTGGCCAAATGACCAATGAAATTTAATCTTGTCAAAGGATTTTAACTTTCAGCAGATGACTTAAAATGGCTGACTAATTACATACAAATGACAAATAGTTTGGCACCATCAGTTGAGCCTACAGCCAGTGTCGACCAAGCAATACCTTGTAGGCTGGCATAAAATCATCTAAACGAGCTTGGTATTTTTGAGCTGCTTCTTCCGATGAACCAAGATCGCCAGCAATAAATGGGAAAAAGTCATGTTCTATTTTAGCGACTTCATCAATTGTCTGTAAAAGTTGAATAGCAAAAACAACATGCAAACAATATCAGTAAACAGAAGGATTAATTGTTTAATGTTGAATCAAAATCAAAACAAGTACGAGAGTAAAATATGGACCAGGAACCAAGCATGACCTCATCACCGCCATCTATGAATTGTGTATTCACATCAAAAATCGAGGTCTGTCAATTGATGCACATTTGTCCAAGGAACAAACGCACCAAGCTTCAAGTCAAACATACTTGTATTTGAAATGCCTTAGTCTTTTTTGAGGAGAGTGGGCTCCTAGAACAACCACAAGGACAACAAGATGAGTAGCACTTGAGGCCTACCCAGTTCATGGTCCAGAAATTGACATGCTCTTGAAATCTGAAATAAAATGTTATTTCTAGATACTAGATAGATAAAGAAAGTCACACTATTGAGAGAAACAACATTAATATATAAAATGAGAATACAAATATTAAGATAAACACACAAATATAAAACCATTAATTAATCAAACATTTTTATCAATTATTATCTTATATTTTTCAGGAGAAACCAAATGAAAAGCTCTTTTCCAAATGGGTACTATATAAAAACATCATCTTTCTAATACATCTTTAGGTCATATTTCTAATACAAGTCAAATAGTATTCATTTGAAAAGGCCTCACATTATGATTTCAATGTTTTAGAGAAAACTGTGAGTTTTGTTCACCAGAATTTGAAATGGATGTACCTCATTTTGGACAAAAGCTTCTCAAAATTAAAAACTTTCAACTATACTAAAAGATGTCAAAGAGTGTTGTATATGAGCTGGTAATAGTTTTCTTGACAATTGAAGAAATTCATTAAATTTGTGAGTCATCATTTTAATTTTTTATATCAATTTTAAATACCATTCCTTCTTAAACACCATTCATGTCATCAGATTATTTGCTGAAGCATATATTTGTCATTTTAATAACAACAACTCCATTTTAAAGATCAAGATTTTGTAATTTATTATCATCTATGATACTAGATTTCGAATTTAACCTTCAGGGTTTTTTATCACTGAAATGCTTTTTTAATTTTTCCTACTCACACCATCACAAGAATAATTAAAACGTACCTTTCTTGCATCTTGTATAAACTGATGCCACTGAGATTTAAATTGCTTGCTGGAAGATAATTTTTGTGTCCATGATTCATAATGGACGGAAAGTGTTCGCATTTGTTCACGCATTTCACTTAAATATTGTTCAACCAATAAAGTTGGTTGACGTATTTCCAGTGAGGAGTCTTCTGAAAGCTGAAAGAGAAAACAAACTTGTAAATATTTTTCTGTGTGTAATATGAGAAATATGAAACAAAATATATCTTACATCTAAAAGTCGGTTTAATAATGTTTCTTTTAATTTCATACATTTTTGGAAGGAGGAACAACTATAGGTACTCAAATCCCCCTGCATGCTCCTCTACTCAAATATCAAACTTAGTAGAAATTTTAGGATAAAACACAACCGTGAAAAAGAGTGATTAAACAAAAATTCTTTTAGACTTACTGCTGAGGAATTATGTAAGAATGATTTTCCTTTCTCCTCGAACTGGGAATGAATGTTAGCTGTTTTACTAAACAGTTCCTGCATTTGAGAGACGGCAGTATCCGTCAAGTCCTGCAGATTCTCCGTTTCGGAGCGCATAATGTGCTCGAGGCCACCATAGTTGTGTTTCAACTGAAAGATAATATTCATTTAATTTGTATTTAATATATAACAGAGAAACAAGCAAGCCAACCGAGAGGTTGATGTTCCCTGTCTTGACAAAATAAATAGACAATACTCAATAATTACTTCCACATTTATCTTATAATAAAGCATCAAGTATCAAATTCCTTATCACCCTGCTTAACCGGAGCAGAAAATGCTCATTATCGAATTTAGTCAAGGTACTCATGCAGTGAAACTACATACCAGGATTCATCGCGCTCTCTCGAGGCAGAAAATGATCATAATTTAAAAAAAAATAATTTGTGCATATTAATCCTACCTGTTGGCCGAGCCTGAAGAATGAGACATACAATAGGGCCAATTGAATGCGAATTTCCACTACACGTTGCAGACGATGAATCTGTTTCTGTAGGGCGTCAACCTTCTCTGCGGCTGTTTGTGCTTCTTGGTCCCCTGACTTGACCAAGTTCACTACTGCTGCAGATAAGGCTTCCATTTCCGCATTCTTGTCCTAAAAAATAACATTGTGAAACAAATATTATTAGTATGAAGAGTTTGTTTACTATATATTTACGATCAAGAAAAAGCAGATCTATAAAAAACAAAAATCTTTTAAATGACTTACTCTGATGTCTTCATCCAATTGTTCGTGAATTTCAAGAAAATCCTTGGCGCTGTTCAGGTCATTTCCCATGTTGCCATGACGTTTGAGCGTAGCCATACCTATCTGTGTTAGCCATGTTTGAAGCTGCAAATTAAGAATTGAGAATATTTAGACATTTCAATTAATTCTGGTGTTAATGAGCTATCTCACAGAAAACACTTCCTCAATTTTTGAAAACTTGGTATTAAGATAAATCCTTAGTGTTTCTATATTCTAACAAAAGATTCATAATGATGACCTTTACTCAGATCAACTTTTAAAAAATTCTAGATATCCATTGCTTATATGTCAAAATTAACTGTTGGTTATATATTTTTCAACCGTGTGGTGTTTGAATGGGGATCATTAAACAGTTTTTTGTAACTGTCCTTGTTATCTATTTATTGCTAATATAGAGCAAGAGGTGGACAGTCGCTGTTAATCTGTTGATTTTTGATTGACAAATGATGGAACTTCCAGTTAAATGCATGATATACAGAATGTTATAAAGAATACAATACTAACTTCCATGTACAAATTCTGGCTCCTTAAAATATAGATTTGTGTAAGTGCAGGAAATATTAATGGATAATACGCAGGTAATTAATTTTGTTCAGGTACTTACACTATTGAATTTTTCTTGGAATTGTAAATAGGCTTGACTACGTTCCCACGCCTGGGCCCGTCTTGCCTTGCACAGCGACTCAAGGTGGGCGCAGTGAGCTTGGAGCTCATCCATCTGAAAGGAAAATAAAGTAAATGTAAAATGTTTTATTCCAGTTGTTTTGGGTACTAGAATGTCCTCAAAATAGTACACAAATCTATTTCAAAGATATAAGACTTTCTCTATCCTGAACATATAATTAATCATTTTCTTATGAGCTTTTACTAATGAATTCTTTGAAAGTAAATGTTTTATGACGGGAATTCTTACCTTTTGTCTGACGCCATCAGCTCCAGAGTCACTCCTACTGACCCTCTCCAGTAGAAGTCGACCCTCGCGTAGAGCTGGCGCAGATATTTCTACTATGGCGTTAGACAATTGGGCATGTTGCTCAGCAAGTTCTGCGCTGTTTCTTGGCAAGTCCATGTTGTTAAGTTGGACTTCTATCTGTTCCAGTTTTGTTAGAGCCTGAAAATGCACGTGTCGAAAGTTAAAAAGTATTTTCTTTTTAAAGGGCCTCAAAATTCATTTTTCAATTATATGTCTTTAAGTTCTGTTAAACTAATATTCTAGGATTGTAAATAAAAATATGTACTACATAAAATATTTTTGATCTTTGCAACATAGACATGAACATTTCAATAGGTCATGAAATATGTCTGCATACATCAAAATTAAGATAGAAAATGTCCCCAAAACAACAGTGGGTATAATCTTACCGTTTCCCGTAAATTATAGAAGGAGACTGACATTGTGATGTTTCTCCTTCTGTTGTCAAGTTTAATCATGAAGTTCTCACATTCTGTATCGACAGTAAGCAGCCGCTGTCTCACACCTTCCGCATCCAGGTTTGTCCGGCGCAGAAGTTGGTCAGCTGTACGAATCAGCTGCAAAACTGTCTCTTGGATGTCCTTAAATAGAAATTGCTTTCAATTATTTTGAACTCAGAACAAAAAATCTTATTTTCCAGAACCATAAAACAGTCAACTAACAAGACAATTTTCATTTAAAGACTGAAACTTTTTTCATTTGCGGTAATATCGTAAGAAACGAAATCTTTCAGGATGAATTGATATATGATACTTACTCTTGCTTGGGTTTCAAATTTATTATGTTCTTCTTGTATTCGCCTTGCTGCTGCATACGTGTCCCCGAGACTTGATATTCTGAGGTATTCAGATCCGATCGTTCGGAACCATTCCAAAATCTGAAAAATCAAAGACATGTCATTTCCTAAATATATGCGACATATTCCATTATATATTCCACAAAGAGTATTGAGTTTCAAAATATGTACTGGTATTTTTTTTTAAAAGATTCTGCTTGATAAATGCTGTTGTTCGATTCCTGAAAATTCTAGTTCTTTAACCACATGAATAATGCTGTCCCAATATTGAAACAGCATAATAGCTTACCTTATTAACTTCTTGGTCCAATTGACAAAGTTGTAGACATTGTTCAAGTTTTTGTCGTCGTAATTCCCAGAGTTCTTCCAGGTGACGCCTTCGATCGTGAAGTAACTCGAGTAGATGTTCTATTCCGTAGCAGGCGGCGGTAGTTGCATGTTTATTTTGTATATCTGCATGCACACCCATTTCTTTGATGTGTTGTAATAAAGAATGTCCCATATCTAAGGTGATTTTAGAAGACTCAAGAATACCTAAAATTTAAAAAAAAAACCACATTCAGTACAAAATAAATAAATAATCAAATGACATCAACATCAAAGGATTATTTAATCTACATTTTTTATAAATATCTTTTTGATAATACTGTGTAGCTGTTATCTGCTCATAAATTAAATAATGAAAAGTTGATTGGTTGTCCTGTTGTCTGTTTAATAACGACATCTTTGTATGTGCAGATTATGTCCAGTCATATTGCACTGACAGTTCTTCTTTTAGGCTTGTGTTGAATTACAACAGCATCAATAATGTCATTCTCATACTCTTATGGAGCTGCAGTGGCTCAGTAAGTAAGGTATTGGCTCACTATTCTGGAGGTTGGTGGTTTGATCCCGGTGTTGGCTGAGAAAGTTCCTCAGGATTTTCCAGTGTGGTTCCCCCTTGTCAGTAACGAAGGACAGAAGACCTAGCAAGGAACAGTGTCTAGTCATTTGGATGAAATGAAATGAAATGAAATGGGGTTTAACGTCCTACTGTTCTGCTCCTATGCTGGGCTAATGAAGACGGGCATACGCCATACAGTGTGCTATGAGGGAAATTTTGCCCGGGCAGTGGCACTATCGCCTACTCTTATATCGAATTCCAACTGCCAAGGGATCTTTTATGTGCATTCCAATGTATACACGGGACCTCGGTTTTTCGTCTCATTCGAAGGACTAGACAGCTTTCCTTGTCAGGCCCTCCGTCCTGCATCACTGACAAGGGGAAACCACGCCGGAAAATCTGGATGAACTTTCTAGGCCAATGCAGGGATCGAACACCCGACCTCCAGGCTAGCGAGCAAGCGTCTAACCCACTTAGCCACCGTGATCCCCGTCATTTGGATGAGATGTAAAACCAAGGCCCTATGGACACACTGGTGTACACTTAAAGAACCCTTGACAGAATTTAAAATAAGATCTGTCCATGCAAAATTTCCCTCATAGCACACTGCATGGCATATGCCTGTCTTTATTAGCCCGGATGTAACAGAACAGTAGGACGTTAAACTCCTTTTCATTTTATTTCATGTCCCATACTCTTACATGCACATCTACTTAGTGGTAATATAAAGTGTCATTAACCTGTAATAAAGGTAAAGAATTTACTTACTTGATTTGATATCATTATGTTGGTTTAATAAATCTCTAGCTGTTTCTACATTTGAGGCAAGGGGTACTTTGGTAAATTTACCCTGTGCTTGTTCCATCTTTTGTGTTAACTGAAAAAAAAAATAATAAAATGTTTTTTTTATAATATATTTTATAATCGGATTATCTAATACGGCAATTCTGCATTATGAGACTATACAGTCGTGCACAAAGTTTATCTTGATTTTAATTCATAGCCAGTTTACACCTAACAAATCTTTACAAACTTTTGAACACAGTAAAGAGCATCATTCGATTTTCATTGTTCAGTTTACAGGTAAACGCTTAAACAAATAGCACCGCGGCTCTAACAGTCAGGCAACATGGGTTCTATATCCTCCATTTTAATCCAACTGCCAGTTATTTAATGCTCAATTCCTTTTCATCCTCCACCTTTAGATTACAGATATCATTTTACAACATAAATGCATTACAGTATTATCTAAAAAATGCTTTTAAGGCTTTCAAATTGACATTGACTAATATATAAAAACACATTTCTTTCCAATATCTTCTACTTTTCTTGTAATGTAAGTGATAAATCTACATATTTAGTTATTCAACCATCAATAATATCAAACTACAAAAATAACCACAAAACTGCATGTTGCCATCATTTGAATACTGGAATCTGAATTCTACCAGAAACATTTTTTGCTTATTTTTAAGTATATTAATGATTAAGTGATATGTTTTGTATGCACGAAACAACATGTTGGCGTCATTTGAATACTAGAATCTGAATTTTATCAGAAACATTTTTTGTTTAATTCTAAGTATATTAAAGGAACTATCCCGAGTTGAACAGAGTCTCAAAAATAAAAGTCTGAGTGATCTAATAATCGATTCCCATTCCTTTTGAGGGTTATACAATGAATGACCCATGTGCTATACTTGATAATGAAAGGTAAATTTCAGCGACACATTACTTTTATAAAATAAAAGTCTGGTTTTATCCAGATACCGCATGATACAGCTTCGGACACCGTTCTTCATTTCCAGATTAAGACCGACGGGTTTAAGTTGTTTGAAAACGTATCACATATATTGAGTTAGTTGCTCGGCCCTAAGGTAGAGGATTTTAAGGGATTTTAACACAAAATTAAGCAGTTTTATTTTCCAAAATATTATCGGGATTGGCCCTTTATGATTAAGTGATATGTTTTGTATGCACTTAAAAGTTACAACAAAAATTGTTAATATTCTGAAATATAAATGAGAAGTGGCATCAAATGTTCTAAGTTGGGTTTTCTCTTTTACCAACACCAAGACACCATGGTTGCCCCATAAACTGCAATCAAATGTCAAAAACACATGAAAACAATGTGCAAGATAGTATATTCTTATATTTAAACTTACATCTTTTACGCTTTGATGGAATGCTATACTTTGTTCCAACATTTGACCTCTGTATTCGAGCTTCTCATTGAGAGCTTTCCAGGCTTCACCAAGTGTGTCTGCCATGGCGGCATGGACATCAGCTTGGGATCTGTTCTCATCAACATATGTGTCAGCTCTTGCTAAAAGCTGTTGTACTTCTCCTTCTTTGGACTGAAAAATAGTAAATAAACAAATATGATTATAGATTTACACACTAAAAAATATTATGTCGCCCACACCCATGGGTACATCAAAATTGGTGGTCATTGGTTTTATAGAAGATAGGTGCATAAATGCTTTTTTACAAATTGAAATTATACATATAATCCATAAATGAGAAACTAATTGTTTCAAATACAAACAATTTTACTGTAACTAACATTCAACACAAAAAAAAACCCTACTCATCAACAGAACAATATCAATACATGTCATATAAAATGTCTAAGGTTAAATTTTTTTATCTCCAGGTGATGAACTAATTTGAGAAAAGATTCATGGATAATTTGATTTATTAACACCAAAAGTGGTCATATTATCAACTAAAACATTCCTCTACATATATCTAAGATAAAGTTTGAGGACATCAGAGATCAAATGAAAATAATCACCTTTTAATACAAACATCATTTAAACTTGTGGGGACAAATTAGCGGATAAGGGAGAGAGGGGATAATAATTAATCAGTTCAATAAACCATACAGCCCCTACCCCAAGGAAGCGTAAAATTATCATATTCTTATAAGTGATAAAGTCAGTTTAATTCAAAATGCAATATAACGGTAGTTTACTTAATTTCTTTCAATCAAGTACAAATTAAAAGTTGTAGGATACATGTATGTACTGTATTTCTGCTATCTACTTCTTAAATCCTTTACGAACCAACTACACCCCCCCCCCCCCATCCCACATTAACACTTCCTTTGGAACTTATCTGAAAAACCACTGTAAATAATACTAATTTACTTCTGGGTTACAGAAATTATTCATATTATTATAAAAAGATCTGAATTTCTGTCCGGACTCTCACCGTATACAATTACAGGGCTGTCAATTTACCAAATATGCCAAAAATATGTTTCATATTTGTGCAATTACATATGTAATTGGAAATCATGTAAATTGATTGATGGGGAGGGAGCAGGGGTTTTCTCATTGGCAGTTAGAAAATAGGATAGAAATGGGCACTCCCTCTTTTATAAATTTTAGTTGAAATTGCTAATTACATAGTCAAAATCTTTACTATAATATGTACTGAAGACAGAGCATTTAAAACTGGACAAATTAAATACATTATGTAAATAGAAAACACAGAAAGCCAGTGGCTAACAGTATAGACTAAATATCTATATCAAGACATGGATTAATGTTGGCATGAAGCTCCTGGGAGCTATTTTTAGATGACAGGTGCCAAGTTCTGAAGTTAGGAACTGATAGAGGTTTGAAATAGGATACCTGGCACACTCCTACTAGTTCTACCAAAACAGTTTCTAGATTATCTTAACTCAAATCATATTCCAGCTTTAAACAGAATCTTCCCTAAGGTTATCAACTGGTTTAAATTAAACCATAACAAATTTCAACTGTATATATCTACCATCATGACTTATAACTTCCTATACTTTAGAATATAGGTAAACTCATGGTTGGGCATTATTACCTGAAACCAAATGTACATCAAAGCGTAATATCTTTAAGACCTGACATCATCCACTAACCAAAAATTAGAAAGTACATGTAGCAGAGACCTTTCTCAAAAGTATGGGGGGGGGGGTGATAGAATGGTCTAATGCATAATATTTAGATCACCTGCCTAACCTAGTGGGTTTTTTCTAGTTCCTTTGGTTTCCTCCCACTGTTAAAGACACCTATGTGCAAGCCAATTGTTTAAATAAAATTGCATCACATTAGTCCCCAAATGACATACTTTGTGTTGAGTAGACATTAAACCCCATTTCTACCCCAAAGATCATATTTCAACTCATTTTGGAAATTTTGAGATTTACACTGTACATTTATCTTCTATAGAAGACTAGAATTTGTCAGAGAAGAAACTGAAAGAATGTCAAATACTTGTTGAATATAGGATTATGTGTGTAATTATTATAGTCAGTAGAGTACAGGTTGTATATAAATATAGATCAGTATAAAACATCTGTTGTAAACATACTTAATGATGTAGCCATTACTTATACCTATCATAAACATTACATCTACATCTATGTAATCAAACTTTTAAAGAACTCTCTAACCGCTTTTTTTTTTGGGGGGGGGGGGGGACTTTGTTTCAAGTTCTTATACAACATATGTATTTAACCATCAAGATTCTGACTGTCTGACCAAGGAACAAATGGGCCTTGAGTCTTACTTGTAAAATATAACAAACAATTAAACAATTTTCATATCATACAATGCCTTCAACGTAATAAACACTTCTTTAATATATATACTCAATGGAAATCAACTATAACGCAGAAAGAAATTTACCTTTAATTTTGTGACTAATTCGTCATGTTCCCTCTTTAATTGTATTGCTTCCTCCAAAGTGGAACCCACATCTACAAGATCGGGTTCCATTTGGTGGACACGCACTCGAATCCATTCTCCACTCTGAAAAAATTAAACAGAACATAAATATGAATTTACAAGAGAAAATGTATTCACAATATTTGCCATTTTTAGTAATAGGTAATATTTTATTTTTCAATTACTAAGAGGATTTTGTCAATATAAAATACCCCTAGAATCATTGCATGTAGAAAATCTGTGAATTCTGACATCAGAATTCTAAATATGCTTAAATTTATATGTTTTGTGTAGTCTGTCAGTATGATATTTGAGTATAACAGATTTTAACTGTTAATTCTAACTATCCATGCCATTTATAGTCTTTATTCATAATCAAACTGCTTTGATTCTGATATTAAGATCTGACTGGGACCTTTGGCCATTAAACATTTCTTATTCAACTCCAAATTTTACTCAAATTTCTATGCATTGTTGCTAAAATAAGAAATTCAAACTTGGATCAATATTTTCCTTTCTAAAAATTGCACCAACCTAGCCCCAAAAATATGTTGAACCTGTTGCATGAAGTAATCTGGTCTCCATGCTAAGTTTTAAAAGGATCCTATCATTCGACCTATGGATCTTAATTCAAAGATAATAACTGATTGTTTTATGGTTTTATCAAGTCTTACTCAAAGCATACCATGTTAATGAGTTATGGTTCTGCTCATTAACATGATATATTTGAACCATGAAGGTCGTACATGTTGTAAAACAATATAGGAACTATTCAACCGCTAGCTATAAATATCTTGTTTATTTTTCAACTCATGTATTTTGGAAGTTAAGTTAACCTGAACACACCCAATACCAATAACAAGCTATATAATAACTTGTATATAACATATAAGTACAAGTAGATCATTGTTCTAATATATACCGGTACTGTATATACATGATTCATTTTTTGGCACCGATATTAATTTGGAACAAATATACCTACATGTATAACAAACTACTATTTTTATGCTATTTTCAGGAACATCGTGAATTTATAGAAAGCACAAGAACGAGTCTGGTAGGCAACAGGGTGCAGCCCATTTTTAAATATGGTTTTAGGTTATCAAATTTATTAACTAGCTAATTGTTTTGCATATCAGATAATAAATATCAGTAGAATCTTTCAGCAACTGATTGCTAAAATCAAGGAACAGATACAATTCCTGCATAGCATGAAAGGCTTAGCAGTTGGTACCTAAACTTCAACTCTCACGGGGGATCACGTGGCTAAGTGGGTAAGACGCTGGCTCGCTAGCCTGGAGGTCGGGTGTTCGATCCCTGCATTGGCCGAGAAAGTTCATCCAGATTTTCCGGCGTGGTTCCCCTTGTCAGTGATGCAGGACGGAGGGCCTGAGAAGGACAGCTGTCTAGTCCTTCGGATGAGACGAAAAACCGAGGTCCCGTGTATACATTGGAATGCACATAAAAGATCCCTTGGCAGTTGGAATTCAATATAAGAGTAGGCGATAGTGCCGCTGCCCGGGCAAAATTTCCCTCATAGCACACTGTATGGCGTATGCCCGTCTTCATTAGCCCAGTATAGGAGCAGAACAGTAGGACGTTAAACCCCATTTCATTTCATTTCATTTCAACTCTCACGTGAACATTATATGTAAAATATATTTTTGTATACATGTATATTGATGTATGTGTATGTTTTGTATACTGTTCTTAATGGACGTCATATGCAAATAAAAAGTTGAAAGTTATAAGGATTTCAAATATTTGGGGATTTCTTTATTATGAATTCCATATTTTCTACAAATGAATAACAAATGATTTCAGCTCCCATATATATATATATGAAAATGTTTATAGTAAGAAGCTTGCACTAATAGAAAACAACCTACGGTATATATATCATGTAGATGTATTTGAACAATCATATAATGTAAAGGTATTTTATTCAGATAAATGCAATACCAGATGGTTCATGTACTTCTTTATACTAGCTATATTCTGACTAATCACAAAATACCATACATATGATGCTTGGCAATTAGCCATTGGCATCGACACAATTCCTGAAAGTACCGGTAGTTTACAGATAAAATGTTATTCTGCGTCTTGTGTCTAAAGCACCATTCCTGTTTATCATGATCATAACCTCATGGTGAATGATCTAATACTTTTGCTCTATCTAAGACGTATTTAATGTTTTCTGATAAACCATGGTATATAAGCAATAGATAATAGATAATTCAATCTGATAGAGCAGTAGCCCCGGCTTCTGAAATCCAATTACAAACTGTTGCTTAAAATAGTGTCATGTATGTGACAAGGTATGTTTAGTCTTTCTATAACACCTGAACTTATATTCAATAAATTACCTCTTACTTAAGTAACTGTCTTAAGGTACAATTTCACCTTAAATTTAAGGCATTTCCTTAATCAATAAAAGAATATTCAGGGAGAAAAACACCTTTAAAGAATCTTTGAATGGCCTTTAAGGAAACATAAGATTTTCAAGCTTAATGAAAAAAACAAACTTCAAAAATTTTCAAAGATAACAAAGATTAAAAGACATTTAAAAATTATTCAGTAGTATCATTCGACTTATAACAGTGTCTGATTTAGATGAAGAGAGGAGGTACTGGGCTATTTCACTTATGGGGTCCATCTCATTTCCCCACCCTCACGACTAAAGGAAGATAAAGTGTGTATTAAACATAATTGATCAAAGCCGAGGATGATGATGGATGTTTAAGACTTATGACAAGGTCAAAAATGTTATACACCTTGGCCGGAGACACTTCGATCTTGAGGCCCAAGGCTCAAACCTTCCAAGCCTATAGGTAAATCTGGCACTGTGACTAAAAATATCGGACATTAATTGACAACATGAATCTTACAAGTAGAAATATTCTTTTTTAGTCTTTATTAAAGGGGTATTTCTAGATCTCATAACAAGGATAAAGGGCATACTTGGTGATGGGAATAATAGTGGTAAAGATTGCTAAATAAAGTATTTTTAAATGGCCACACAATAATAAAATATTTAGCGATGGTGTTTCCTTTTTTTATGGGCCAAATTCTAGAAAATCATTATTCATCAGTATCTTTGACCAGGTGAGTCATCAGAAAATATGCCATCTATTGGCTGACAGCACTAAAAGACGCAATAGATTGATAAACATTAGAAAACTGACCATCGCTCAGGAATAATAAACATAATAAATAAATCTGTTAAATTAATAAGCCTCGTCAAAGGTGTTACGATTGTGGACCAAATTAGAAATGAAATTAAGGGGGGCTTATATCTGAACCACTTTGCCAATATTAGTTGAGAAACTGGCTTGTCAGTCAATTTAAATTCTTGATAAATGGCATTCCTGTTTTTCAGTTATAATGGTTTTGCTTAGGCTGACGGTATCACAATTAGACTTGGTATCATTCGTACTTTAGTCTGAAAGTATCATTTAGACTGTTGGTATCAATTTAGACTGAGAGTATCATGGTATCATTTTAGACTATTGATATTGTTATGTCATTTTATACTGAAGTAATAATTTCAGACTAAAGTCTGATGATGCAGTCATTTAATCCTGAAGTAATACAGTAATATTAGATTGAAGTCTGAAGTAAACAAGCTAGCCAATCCACATGTGTATAATCAGTATACATTTGTCCTTGAAAGAAAGGAAGTTCAGTTACCAGGAAATTAAATAGTGGCTGAGCTTTGATCTCAGACTAATAATGCAGATGCAATGGAGGGAAGGTACTGTAAAATATTGCCAATAACATAACATTTGGTCCCCTCCCAAAATTCTGGTATTTCTACATTTCTAGTGGTATCTGGTTAAAGTTATAAGAGGTCTGATCACATCTGCTATGCAGTATACAGCATCTTTGTAACTATGACAACCAGCTGCAGTGTTATCGAAATTATCCCTTTCAGCTTGTATCAGTTGATATAATATCAGTTAGTTGGTAAAAGCTTTGATAGATATATAAAATAGGTCAATTAAAGCCAATTAGTGATACATAAAATAGGCCAATTAGTGATAGATTTTTAAATAGTTCAATTAGAACTAGATTTTAAAATAGATCAATTAAAGCCAATGACTTACATAAATAGCATTCCTTTTGAATTACCTAAACACCAGAAGACCAATATCTAGCATTGAAAGAGCTAAAGAGTGCACAAGGGGTCGCAAAGGGCCTCAGTGCACCCCTCCCAATATATTCAGGCAAACAATTATTTTGGCAAGACGGTCACAGAAATTTAAACACTTTAAAGGTTAAATTCAAACAAAGAATCTCCAAAGCTAACATTCCAATCTAAAGTATCAAGAATCTTACCAATATTCATACTTTTTGAAAACAAATGGCCAAAATCACATTGTGATATAAATTGAGATCAATTGGTGTATAGTGATATTCAAGAAAAAATCGAAAAATTAGGGAATTTGAATCTCTACAATCTGTTCAACTTTTAAAAATGATAATCAGTGGATTTTGATTTTACCAAGAACAATAAAGAATTATGGTGTTGGTTGGGAGTGCTATAATAGGAACACTATTTTTTATTTTAAGTAACATTGGCATTACAGGGGTTGGATTACCTACACATTATTTAAAACTCATACTTTATAGAGATCTGGTAGATTATAATTAAAGGTATCATATGTATTATATTTATATTTTAATAAATGTGTACCTATTATTCTTCAGTGATATAAGTGATATTTTTATCATTATCTCAAATTAAGGTGAGAAATGGTATTATGGTATTAATATTAATTGTGAATATTAAACAATATTATATATTTGAACCATTGTAAACAAAAAGTGTTAAATCCAATTGGTTTTAAATACCAACCCCCAAACAGAACTGTTTTTAAACAATTAAAATCATTATCAAATGTCTCAAATGATTGATCACATGAACTGAATTTGCTGTACCTTATTCACAATCATGGCTTACAATGTAAATATATGTGAAGTATTTGTGAGGTTATTTTTAACCAGATATATGAGTTTTGGTGGACGGACATTTCGCCAGTGGATATTTCGGCCAGTGGACATTTTAGCTAGGACGT